TTAGAATGATTTTAAAAAGCTACTCTATAATCGGAAATCCTGATACAATTTATATCATAGCTTGTAGCTTGTCATGTTGTAAATTTTTATTTTAATACTATATAAAAAAATATAGAAGAGAAAATACAAATTATCACTAAACAAAATTTATTATAATATCTGGATTATTATGAAATAGTTTTTGTTTAGATATAATTTTGAAAGAGAGAGAAACGGGCGAAATTTTTTCCTAGACAGACTAATTTTATCTTGATATAACATACTTTTGTATACAATGTAGAATAATCTTAGCTGATATTTGTACAGTATTAATGAACATTAATAGAATATATTGTTTTTTCTTCTTCTAGAATATGGTTTGATAACAAATCAAAATTAATTTTTAATATGAACGCGATAACAACAAATCTTTCTTCTTCTCATGATAGTGCAAGTTATTATCCTTATTCGGCATGTATATCCTTTGTAAATGTTATTATTCAAGGTGCAATTGCTCCATTAATAATTATTATTTCAACAATATTAAATTCACTAATAGCTGTTGTTCTTCTACAACGACAATTACGTTCACCAACAAATATTCTTTTATTAGCCATTGCTTTGTACGATACTCTAACAGGATTATTTCCATTTCCAGCATTACTCTATGTTTATACATTTAAGCATTGTGATGATTATCCACCATTTAACTATTGTTGGTTTCATCGAATAAATCATGACATTTTACCATTCATTTTTCATACATGCTCCATTTGGATTACAGTGGCATTAGCTATACAACGTTATATCTATGTTTGTCATTCAGAAAAAGCCAAACAATATTGTACATTAATTATGGCATTAAAAGCCATTGTTTGTATTAATTTATTTGCATTAATTCTAACAATACCTATGTTTCTAGAAGGAACATTTACACCCAAAGAAGTAAAATCAAAAATAGTCTTAAACAAAATATTTCAAGCCTGTGTTGCTATTGAACATTCACAAGATGATAAATATAAAGTCTTTTTTTCATCTTATTCTTTATTTCGAGCGCTCATTGTTAATGTTGGTCCGTGTACAGTATTGGTAATATTCAATGCTATATTGATAATGAGAATGAAAAAAGCCAAACAACATCGTGAAAAGTTAATTCGGCGACGATCACATGAAGCGCGAACACAAGAACAAACAAATGTTACCCTCATGCTGGTAAGCCGAATTTTCTTAACGATATAAAAGTGATGATATTTTGTTATTTGTTTTTTTGTTGATTTTTAGATTATTGTTGTTACTCTATTTTTATTAGTTGAAATACCAAATGCTATTCAGATAATTCTCTCCGCTATACTTGGTTTTGTACCTATTAGTGACGATAATTCAATACAAAATCGTTTAGCTCTAGCAGCACAAATATTAAATTTTTGTGTTTTATTATCATATCCCATTAATTTTTTTATTTATTGTCGAATGTCACGTGCATTTCGAGAAGCATTCAAAAAATTATTATGCCCATCCTGGTCTAATAATAATAATACACAATTAATTACAATTGGTAATAATGAAGGTGGAACTGGTGGTAGTATTATTTCTCCATCACTAAATGTAAATTCATATCAACAAGTACAGTATGGAATAGGTAACAATAATAATCATGATCAACAAACTCTACTCAAACATGCACATTTTTTATCCGATGAAAATGAAGATATTGATGATCCAATTCAGCCGGAATCTTCAGCTGTGATATATCGTGATGATAAAAATAAAAAATTAACAACACCCAAACACAGAGTGTTATTCAGTGATAAAATAAACAATGAGAAACCGACGTTAGTAACAAAGCATAAACAAGGAATTAAATTTACGGATTTATGAATTGTTTTTGTTGTCTATCTGCCGGTTTATTTATTGAATTTTTTGCGCCACGTAATAATGTGAACACTGAGAAAAATAGAAAAAGTTCTATAGACGAAATCATTAATCATTGTTTATGAATCGGTAGTATATCGCATGATCTATAAATTAACTATAATTTCTCAGTTCACGTTGAATGCCAAACATGAAATATCCGTTTCTCAGGATTTATCGCGTGAATAGGCATCGAAGATTTATACTGTTATCTTTTCTCATGTTAGTCATTTAGCCATGTGATATGGAAACTATCTGTTTTTAAACCGAAAAGAAACGCCATGGCGCACTCTAAATCCTAACAGTACTATTAGAGTACGTAATACGAATGCGTTTTAATACAAGAATATATCTGTTTGGGGGAAACAGGCAGAAAAATAGAAAATAAGTGTTACATTATACTCTTATATGGCCTTCTAGTGTTTTTTATTTATTGACTTTTAAGTGATTAGAAAAACAATATCTATATCAGTCTCATTTCATCAGCACTCTTGCCTAATTTTGCTTTTTGTATGACCTTGATTGGTCGTCATTGACTCCGTCTTATCGATTTTTCGAACGAATCCATCTTGATAGTGATATAAATCAAAATCTGTTGTGCTTGGCACATAATTTCATAAACATTTCGAATGGTTTTTCTCCTAACCGTTTATATCTAAACGTTGCTTTTCTTGCTTAAGGCGCCTCATCTCCTTATGAGAAAATGGATTTTGAAACAACCTAAATTTAATTAAATCATGTATACCGTTTATTGTAAGAATCAGTGGCAAAGAAGTTGAAATGGAAAGGATTTGGTGGGTTTAATACGAGTTTTTTTCAAGCTCTTTTCCTTAAAAACTCATATTTAAAGAATCATTTGTTATTTTCAGACAGTTTGCTAGAGGACGTACTAGTATAGGTTTTCGACCATTGTTTTTCTAATTATATGTCATCACGTGCAATCACATACGCGCATATTTAAGCAGCATATCGAAATGAGATGCACAATAATAACAACACTGCAATCATTTGTATCTCCTGTACTCTGACACATATCGCGTAAAACAAATAGATAGATCGAAATTTACAGTAAAAATAACACTAAACCACAGCTTATATATATGTACGCGTGCTCATACACGTGTTGGCATAGCCACCATCGACTTGAGAGTTCGATAAGATCGTTTAAATGACAAAACAGAGCTATGTTTGGTCTCAGTAAAGCTGAAACGTACACACATTGTTTTAATAAATCGACAGTGGCAGCGCGACAACTTAGAGCAGGAAGGAGTATCTCAAAAAACTGGAAAAAACCTAAAAGAATTTGTTGAATACACGTCGGGTACGAGTCTGAAAATCGTACCCGAGTACATCTATGTTAGAAACACAGAAAACAGGAAGCTGCTTTTATACGATCAACATGGACAGTAAGCGCATAATGACTTTTCTCCAAATTTTGGAAGAAACATGGTGAGGTGAGAGAAATTTGAAAGAAAAACTACAAAAATTATCTACAAAATTGGAATTGGGAAAAATTCTCTTTTTTTTCCGTTCAAACCGGAGCAAACCGATCACATTTTTCGCTGAAACTAAAGAAAATTTATGTCAGAATTTTTAAAAGTAGGAGATACCTACCCCCTATCGCATCGCCACTGTAAATCGACAGTATTTTTCCCACAGGCATAAACAAAACTTGGTGCGAGAGATAACATTGATGTTTTCATCGGTTCGTTTTTCACTTCAATTAGACAAATGTACGCTTCTGCGTATCGACCAGAACGCGTCCTAATGGGTGTTTCACAAGATGAGAGAATAGTTTTCTGGAGATAAGACCGCCATCAATTTTAACGGATTTGAAATGACATATCTTCAGCAGCGTACTTATACTAATATGTTATAATCGCATTATCAGCGAGTTCAAGCAGTGTTCTGTTCGTTCTTCATGGCCATAATGATAATCAATTTTAGAGCCGCCTCGGAATTTTTTTCATCAAACTGATGAAAAATCATTTCTTTTCGTCGTAGGAGTCAGCGCTTCCACCTATTAGCTGTTCTTTTTGATTGAAATTCATCCTCAAAGTCCAAAAGCGTAGCTTTTCTTTATCCGCAGTGGTCTTAGATTTCACTTGTTCCGACATAACCTTATACTTAGAATTTTAACTAATTTTCTGAATTTCTGCAATATCGCGTGAAAACTATTCATTTTTAGGATATTATGCAACAAATTTAAATATCAGCACTTGTTAATAATTGAACAAGTAGTACGTAATTTTTTGTGAAAAACCATGAGAAAACTGAGACAACTGCCGATGTTTCCGGACATATGTGAAGTAATAGACCAGGTATACGTTCAGTTGATGTGAAACAATGTTTAGTATCGATGCAGAAATCTCAGCCTGATTATTCAAAAAGAAAAAAATGAGTAATCAACATATCTCATCACTGAACAAAAAGAATGGAGAGACGGCAGCTTTCCAGAATATTTTTACTAGTCCTCACATTTGATCTTTCTCTTACACAACGAATGGCTCATACAATAAGAAAAACTTAAGCAGAGAGATACTTCAACTTTATTTATCATTTCGTTAATTGGTTATGCGTGTGCAAATGAGTCAAATATTTTTATGATATTTTTATATTAGATTTTTTCGCTCACCGTAATTTCTTCTGTTTTCAACGAAAAAGGATAGCCTTTGTGTCACAGTAAAATTCTCTCATGTACATCACGAACTGTAAGACAATAGCGGCCTCCAGAATGACGTGCAATTTTTAATATATTAAAAGAAAGAAATCATCGTAAAAAAATTTTTAGAACCAAAACACGATAATCGCAAATAAACAAAATCGTTCACACATTTGTTTTTTGAAATTGACAATAAATATAAATTTTCTTGTTTTCTAATAGTAAAAACATTACAAAAACACATTTAACTATATGTTTTCTCTTTTTCTACCATTGACACTAATCAAATGTAAAACAGTAACGGAGAACTAACAAGAATAGTGACGAAAATAAATATGCTTAATATACAATATTTTTACAAACTTATCCATGAATATCATGGTTACTTGAGAAAAAGAAAAAAAAAGTACAAGAATTACAGAGTTAAAAACTATCTAGTATACGAAAACTATAAAAGTCTACTTCGACAATTTGTTGCACCACACTGACAGCTCAAGACTCTGTCTTCAACCGAACCCACTTCATATTGATAATCCCAACATAATTCTGTACCAGCTTTAACATTTGCTGATGTAAAAAAGGCTACCCATGGAAAACGAACGTCATATGTTTCAATAAAGACATTTTGAACAAAAACATTTGGTGAACAACTATGATTGAAGAATCGTGAAACATTTCCTTTTAAATTAGCATCCATGATATAAATATCAGAATCAGAGATCTCATGCGATTGTGGATGTGACTGTGACATATCATGCTTATCAATGGACTTTTCATTTGTTGTTATTGTCTCATATGTTTTACTTTGATTAGATGGAACAATATAATTGTGCTGTACTTCATTATCAGGTGTTGTCATATTTATATTCGTAGTTGTCGATGCAGCGGGTACGTGATCTGAAACGTAGGTATCAAATGATTCAGCAAAGTATGAGTACTGATTAATTTGAACTTACCACCACCATTGATCATGTTGGATTTATTTAATTGCGGTGGATGAAGTGCATTAACAAAATCAAGTGCTGTAAAATAAATATCATTTAATTCAACTCCACGTTTATTTGCATCATCATCATTTAATATTTCACCAGCATAAAAACTCAAAAATGTTCCCATTGGTAAATCATATAATGTTCGTACACCCCATCCTTTCTCATGTGTACGATAGATTTGTAGTAATGTATTCAAACCAAATTGAACACAACGATTTGTACAACGATAATCGCATTTACATTTTTCATTACATTCGTAGATTCCTAAAATAATTAAAGTCCATTGATTAATTAATAAATGTCTCACTTAAACTTAAATGTTTACCGGAGTGAATTTTTTCTAACAATCGTCCGTGCTTATAGCCTAAATTTTGTTTTGATAATTGTTTATATAAAAATAATTTCATATTTTCTTCTTCATCCTTATCTGTGTCATCAATAATTCTATTCGTTTTAAATAACTCTTTCAAATTTGTAATTAAATCTTCATAATAATAAGACTTAATAATAGAATCATATGTTCTTTGCCAACACAAACATTTATGAGTTTCTGAACAACCGTCTGTACATGTGCATCCTTGTATAGAATCTTTTAATTCATTTATAGGTATTTCATCTCTCGATGGTACTCTTGTACAAATATAGTCAAACTTTGTTGGTAACTCATTATTAATTTCATTTACTAATGATAATGGTAATAGTTCCAAATTATTCGAATAATCAGCGATATCTATAACATAAATTAACAATATTGTGTACCATATCATCTATAGTTCTCTCTTGAACCAATATACTGATCATACTGAGAAAATTTATATTTTATTCGATTGAAGGGTATCGAATTCGACTTACCGATAATAGGTGGATTAATCAGATTATATTTTTGCGTTGCACGACAATCCATTTCAAATGAAAATAAATTCATTGTTAAACATGAATTTATTTGTCTCAAATATAAATGTAAACGTTCTCTATCCGTAAATGCTTGTCCACACGGTGATATATAAACGATTGTGCCCAAATCATTACGCACTTGTCGCCTCCAACCATAGTTTAATGGAATCATTAGAAAATTACACTTTCGTGCTAAAGGTAAACTTTTTTCACATGCATTCGTGCAACGATGTTCTTGATGTTGTTGTAGATCAATTGCCAACCGTTTAGAAGTTGGTTCATCATCATATGTTGTCACATTTGTTGTTAACGAGTTAAATAATGGTTGTAAACGCAATGAACCACGATATAACCATTCTTGTTTATTCAGTGATGGAATGTAAACACGAATTAATGTACAATTACATTTTGATACAATTCCTTCTAACCACTGACCATTATATTCAATTGTTATACGAGACTTGACACCAACATCTTTGATATACAAAAGAAAAGTAATTAAAACCAGCACAAAAGGAAGAGATGAGAAAATTTTGAATACAATACATTATACTCACCTATAAGACGACGTTTTGGATAAGTTAAAACATAGTTTTCGATAAACTGTTTTGTTCCTTGATCAACTTTTAATAGATAGTTTGAAAGTGATTCTAATAATAAACGAATAGAATTACATTGAATATAGTATGGTTCTCCAATATCGGCAAATATCAAAAAACGATTCGAATTTGATTCTGTTGCTAATTCGGCAATCATTCCACGTTGAGGTTTTTCAATTTGTTTACAAGATACATCGGTATTCAAACTATTTGATGGTATACACAGTATACGTGAACCCACATTCAATTGTTGATCAGTAATACGATCAGCGATAGCAACATTATGTGGTGAGTAACGTATATGTTCACCGAATGTTGGTGAATGAGGGCAACGTGCAAGTCGACAAGTCTAAGATAAAAAAGAAAATATGAACAAAAAACACAGTTAGTTAACAGTTAAATCCCCTTCCAGTACTTACCACAATTTGTAGATTTGTATCTTTTACTATTACTTTGACAAAATAAGCCACAGTCCATGAACGATGTGGACTGTAAACAAACAAACGTTGCCCAATATCGACAGCCACTGGCATCTTTCTTTCTTTTTGTGTGCGATCTTTATCACAAGAAGACAGTTGAATAGCTAAGAGTAGGTATAAAGTATGGAAAACATCACGAAATTTTCAACAAGGAAAAAAGTGAGAAACCAATATACAACAGATCTAAAAATAAAAAAAAGCAAATAAAGGAGAGTCACAGAGTAAAGTTAAACTTGACGCGTTTATTGAAGGTTAGATTGTTCAGTATACATTACAAAGACTACTGCGTGCGAATGAAAAACTGGTTTCATATTTTCTGTGGCACAGCAAAATCTAAATTTATTCTATAGATTTTCTGTGCTCTTCATTATTTAATACTTACCAACGGAATGAAATCATGTCATATTTTGATCACCTAATTCATTTACAAAATACCTACAAAAAAGAGCATCCACTTCTCTATCTTTGTAAACAACTCATCAGACGAAAAATAGCCGTATTTCACAGAAAAAAACTGACAAAATAGTGTAGAAAAATCCCAAATTGTTATGACAATAGGAGCTTATCGTTTAAAACGAAAAAACTGTAACACAATAACCGTAACACTAAAACGTTTCCAGTAACACTTTCCACTGATGTCAAAAAAGAGACGTTTCGGAATGAACGTAGAATGAACGTTAAAGACTTGAAGTTAACAGCATTACAAAAAGAATTTGTCGCTCTTATAACTAAACACAGATTTTATAACTTTTTCGGCAGGTTGAGTAGTGGTGACTAAATTCTTTGCTAAGGTGAAGCAGCTAGGAACCAATCGCATATGCCACATAGAGGAGCTACAGTCTTCCTCAATAAACTGGACTTTCTTTAACTGAAATTTCGTAAAAATATAAAACAAAAACCATATCGGCATTTTTCGCATTTATTCCTCATTTACGTCGCACACTAATCGCTTTCCTCGAATTGGTTGCTGGATTCTCCATTGTTGTATCAGATCAGTACAGAGAATAGAACAAAGACCTGTAAAACGCGTAATGTCGAATGCGACAAAACGCAAAAAGCTCATCATTAAAAAGGAGACCGGATCACATCTAACTCTTAGGACAGTGCTAATTAGACAATTAAATGGGAAGAAAAAGCTGATTATATTTTTTCTGGAACGCTTTATTATTGGTCATGATTTTTTCTAGAAAAGTTCTCTCTATTTATTTTCCACAATGTCATTTAATAAGAAGAAAGGAAGCGATACCCGTTCAATACCTGAGTTGATTTACTTTGCTTTCTGTTTTATAGAAGAAGATTTTGTTTTTTGCTTAAAGTAAAGTAATTACTGAGTCGCCTTTAATTTTCAACTACTAACATCTGCTTGAATAGTTCTTGTTTTTGTTGGTGTTTGTTAACTCTTTTTGTTCTTTAGATAATGAATTCTGAATCGTATCCTCAAATGTCGGAAGTAATCAAAGAGAAACCATCATTAAGTAGTTCGTTTTTTATTGAAGAACCAACAGCAAGTGAAAAGAGTCAAAGTGAAGCACATTTACAACGTGAAAATGATAAAATGGAAGATGCAGAAAATGAAACTAATCGAATGCAAACATGTTTTGTTTGTCAAGAATCTTTACGTGATAGATCATCAAAACTATTAGCATGTTTACATTCTGTCTGTACAAATTGTCTACCATCATTACATGAACCGTTTGGTACGTGTGAAAGCATTTTCATGTACAGATAAAATCATTTCAAGTTAATTTACTGAAAATGATGACAAAGTGTTAACAGAACTTAGTACTTAATTTTTTGAAGTGTCAGAAACGGGTTCCTTGAGTTTCCATCCTCTTGATCTTCTACAAACCGTAAATTAGTACTTGTCTGATTAAGAAAACACTCATTACATTTAGTTAAACCATTTCTATGTTTTTTTAGGCAATGCTTACAAATGTTTAGTGTGTGATTATAAAAGTCGCGCTGATATGGTATGCGATAATTTATATTTAACAAATGATGAAGAGAACGATAATGGAAAATCACAAATTGAGCAATCAGATAACGGTGTGCCTCGTACAACATTCACGTGTAGCAGCTGTGAAGAGGGCAATATTGGTGACTGGTATGTATGAAGTTTGTTAACGAAGTTGAGCTTTTTGTTATATTTGTTTCTCTGTGTTGCCTAGGTATTGTAATAATTGTCGTGATTGGCTTTGTGGAGAATGTAAAAATGCTCATTCACGTGTGCGTCTTACAAAAGATCATATTGTTGTTCAAAAAGGTTTTGATCAATTGCAACCACCCCGACAAGATAAACCAATGAATTGTCCGGTATTTTATATTTTCTTGTAACAATAATATCTTGTACAAAATCTTTCCTTACTTTAGATTCATAAACATGAAATGATTCGTATCTATTGTGAGGATTGTGAAGTGTTAACATGTCGTGATTGTCAATTGGAAAGACATAAAGATCATCGGTATACATTCATTGATGCAGCCGTTCATTCGCAACGGAAAAATTTACGATCATTAATGAATAAAGTCAGAGAATGTCGAACAATGTTAGACAGATGTCAAATTGCAACAGCTCAACGTAGTCAAGCTATTGATACTATAGAAATGCAAGTATGTTATGAAAAACAAAAAATACGTATTCTTCATAATGTTGTTGCTAATTTAAGACTATCAGTGATATCAAAGTATTTGGTATGCATATTATATCTGAGGTTAGCAACATATGCAAAGAGTTGATTAATGATATGAATGGAGTATGCGAGAAGGCACGAATTCAGTTTTCTGAAAAGTAAGTTTTAATTAGACTAAATGTACTGTGTAGGAGAGTTTAGTATTTAGTGTATCGAGAAAATTGATTGGTTTTGTTTCAGACAAAGTCGTCTTGATCAATTTATTCAAAATATTGATCATTCGCTTGAATTTGTAGAAGAAGCAGTCAATACAGGTAAATAAATTACTGATTTTTTATTATATCACAATGATCATTTATATATTTCGCTCATTTGTAGGTTCTGATGTTGCCTTATTATCTTCGAAACGTTTAATAACTTATCGTCTTGATGATATACTGAATGATAGTTATGAATGGTCAAAATCTTCGCCTCACTTTCAATTATCATTTCAATTCGAACCAAATCGATTCCGTCAAGTAATCTCAAAATTGGGTGTTTTATTTGTAAATGGAAAACCAGTTGCTAAAACACATCAACAAAAGTTAAATATGGCAATAACAAATAATCAAGAAAAATTAGATCAAACAAATGATAAAGGTAAAACTGAGTAACCTCATTTAAGTTATACTGAATGTTCTTTCTTTTTTTGTACCTCATTTCAGAACAGGAAATAACAATTAATGATAGTATATGGGACGATCATAATCAGACTTCCGATCTAGATAAAATTAATAATACTCATATTACTAGTAAAAGAAATGATAAACATAATATGCTATCAGAGTACGGAGTTTTTGAACGCACTGTGCTATGTTTTTAGCAGCTATTTATTTGTTTAGGATGCCGAAAGTTCGAACAACTTATCAGAATACAGTTAATAATCATACGGTAAGAGAGCGTTTCAAAATAGAGTCCCTTTAGTTATTATTCCTCTATTCCGTTCGTTAGAACGGTATAGCTATTATAAAACATAACATATTTAAAACTATTTTATACATAACTAGCTCGTTTTATAAGAGTATCCTGGTACTTTTCAGACGTACAATTATGGTCATCAGAATCAAGAACAGTCAACAAATTGGCAACAACAAGTAAACGAGCACAAAATCCTGATAGTCTGTTTTAAAACTAAAACATTGTCAATTTCAGAATCAGAAATCATCCTTTATCGAGCAAGAAAATACTCTAGCTACTGAGAAACAACAACAACAACAGATTCTAGATACAAGTGATGGTACTGGTTGATTAAAGTGTTCTTTATTATACATAATACAGTGGCGGCAAAATTTTCCGTACATTCTAAATTTTCTTCTTTTGATCATAACTCGGTAACGAAAAAGACTTTTGACAAGTGGTTTGTACCAAAATATTATATATCTATTGTTACCCTTTGTAGGTCCATTAGACTGTAAAGTGAACATTTTTAGATCGGGAAAAGTTTTCCACACAGTTAATAAAAATCTTTTTTTTCCGCTGTGTAAATAAGTACCGACACAAAATATGAAAACTACATCAATCGATAGAAGAGAGCGCAAACTACATTTTAAAAATATAATTTTGAAAAGTTTTTCTTTAGGATGAAAACGCATCTTTAAGACAAAATTGTCATATTCTTTAGTCTGACTGCTCAATCCCAGGAATGAGTGGGTGAAAAAAAACTCGGATTAAGTCATTCGAAACAAGATTAATCATGTCAATTTTTCAATTAAAATATGGATCAAATTCTTCCATTTAACTTCCACACTATATATATTCTACTTAGTTTTTGACGCTGTTTAAAGAAAAAAACTTTTCAAAATTATTTTTTTACCAAAATGTAGTTTGCGCTCTCTATCGATTGGTGTAGTTTTCATATTTTGTGTCGGTACTTATTTATACAGCAGGAAAAAAAGATTTTTATTAACTGTGCGAAAAATTTTTTCCGACCTAAAAATGTTCACTTTACAGTCTAATGGGCCTACAAAGAGCAACAATGGATTTCTAACTTTTTTTTATCTGTAAATATACTAGAGAGAGCGGAGAATATTTTGGTGCAAACCAATTGTCAGAAGCTTTTTTCGTTATCGAGTTATAATAAAAAAACAACAACTTCAGAATGTACGAAAAACTTTTCCCGCCACTGTATTATGTATAATTCTATATGTGTAATTACTAGACTGTTTGTTTTCTTAGATTTTTGTGCGGTCTGTCGAACAGGTGGAGATCTTCTTTGCTGTGATATGTGTCCGAGAGTGTAAGTATTATACAAAAATATTAGATGTCTAAATCTGACAAGAAACTGGAAAAAAATCTATATTATTAATTATTATAATTAGAAGTGTTCAAGAACTGTCTTAGATCTTCGAAGCCCTTCTTACAGTTTAAGTTTTAAAATTACTTTTTGTTCGTTTATATCACGAGTTGTTGTTTTTCTCCTAATATAGACTTAATTACTTCGTTATTAGTCATCACATTTTGCATCTTTTTAGATATCACATTGAATGTCATGTGCCACCACTTGATGCTTTACCAAAGGGCGAGTTTAAATGTAGTATTTGTACAGATATTGTACCAGATGAACAACAGCAAACAAATGAGTCATTTGAAAATGGAGATGATACAAGACAAATAACATTAAAACGAAAACGTGACGATAGTAATGGTCTCACGTCTCATGAACGTCAAATATGTGAAAAAATACTTTTACAACTATACATTCATGATGAAAGTCCACCGTTTCAAGAACCTGTACCAGCAACTATTCCTGAATACTATCGTATTATAGTAAAGCCAATGGATCTTCGAACAATAAGAGAAAAACTTCTTTCAACTTATAATTCCTATTCATCTATTTTTGAATTTATTGCTGATATTCGACTTATATTTCAAAATTGTGCCATATTCAATGTGGTAAGTACTTAGTCAAAAAGAGTATTAAAAAAGAAGTAACGAATTATTACTCTATTTTCTAGTCTGATTCTCCAGTAGCAAAGGCTGGTGTAGTGTTATCAAAGTACTTTGAAGATTTATCGGAACAATATTTAAATACCAGTTTGACATTAAATCCAAGTACGCCCACTAGTGATACATCGTCTGATAGACAACCGCACACACATCAGTCTAATCAGGTACATCAAGCCAAACATAAACGGAAAAAAGCTCCCGAAGAAATTGTACATTATATTAATTGATGCGTTCTGTAAGACAAATTTGTGCTTTCAAGTTGTTTCAAATTTTATTGTGGATAATATACATTCATAATAGTTAATTATTTTCTCTTTTTTGTTTGTCCAGTGTTGAGATATACACATACTGAGTTCGTTTTATTTGTGTTCTGATAATGGTCTGCTAGATTATTTTCTTATCCGCTTACTCATTTTCGTTTGTGAGATGTTTTTGATCGAATTTTTTACATTAAATAACACTCTTTGTGGTGTTCATTGATGATGTACATGTACACATTTGTGTATCTTGTAATGTATTTGTACGTAGTTTCATACCCAAATGGATTATGGAGTTTTCCTCTTTTCTTTTTGTCTTTAACACAATTATTTGTTAGTGTCGTAGTGTTTGTGTAATACGTATTGCTGTTAATTTCATAAATGGATAGAAATATGATCTTTTTCTTTAATAAACGTTAGTAAACGTCTGCAATAAATCCTAGAAAAAATTAAAGTACGTAGAATGTTATTTATTTTTGTTGTTGTTGACAACTATATAGTTTGTTTAACGAACATAATTTAGATTGAAGTCTATTAGTCAACTGTAGTACTAATAATTAACCAACTAGTCGATTTGTTTTTGATACTTGCTTAATCATGACACAATCATCAGCATCATCTCAATATGATTTTCCATCAGTTAAACGTCTATGTTCATCGAAAAAATGTGAAAATGATGTGGAATGTAACAATAGATCATATAACAATTTTTCTTGCCGTATGTGTTAGTGTAGTTATTCTAATCTAATCACTGTATTCTTTGTTTTTTTTTTGTTTTATTTTTTAGCACATTGTCAGAAACCTTTATGTTTAAGTATGTCCATGGATGGAAGTATGTTTTCTCACAAATTCGATTGATATTTTATTTAAGATCATATTAACGAACATCAAAGTATGATCAAGCTTGAGTTTAGTCAATTGCTTTGTGAAAGAAATCACATGAAACAGACTATAGGTATAACATTTTTTTAACATTTTCAAGTTTTATTTATTTGTATATTTGTTTTAATTTTAGAATCAATGAAATTACAGAATAATATTGATTATCTTCGATCAAAATTAGATAATTGGAGAGATGAAATGATACAAAAAATAGCAACAATTCGTGCTGAAAAATTAATGGAATTAGATTTGTCTTATCAACAATCATTTATTGAATTTGATCGACTTAAAGCTGATTGTTTAAATAAAATAGATGATAAGTCCGATTTATCACAACATATTGATGAATTATCAAAACAAGATCATTTATTACCCATAGAATTGAATGAATTGAAAACTTTATTAAGTGAAATACGTCAAACAGCTTTAAATTTACAATCGAAACAATTAAACATAGAATGTGATTCATTATCAACACTTATCAATGATAATATAAAAATAATAAAACCAATATTTAATGTTAGTACTAATAGTGATGAAAATCATCAAAAAATAAATATCGAAAATATTTTAAATAAAAAATATATAAATGAAATTATTATGAAAACGAATACATACGTATTTGGTTCATCGGAACAGTATATTTTACTCTATGATGATGATGATACACAATTAAAAATTTTTAATGAAAAAGCTGTGGAAGTATCAAGAAAAAATTGGACTTTAACACTTGGTATCATACAAGATATATCATGGTCTCAACACTTAAATAAATTTTTGATATTAACAAATAAAGCAGTTTACACATTTACATTATTACCTCAACAAACAATTTTAGGTAAGTTCTAAGTAGAGTTTTAATTATCAGTAATAGACTAAATCTATTTTTATGAATAACAGAGTGATGATGTTAGTATGTTTACGGAGATTTCTAGATTTTTTGATAGATTGTTTCCAGTTTGTGAACGTCACTAACTCATAAATTATTTATTATATAAGTAATTCGTTGAATTTGATTAATATTTATGTATATCGGCTATTAATAAAAAAAGATGTTTTTTGCATTTGAGTTATTTATTATGAATTTTAGACAAAATATGTGAGGTCAGACGTACTCGTGTGCACGCGTATTGTTTTTTTGCTCAAAATGGACCATATTTATTTCTGAATATTAATAATTCGGATATAGAACGTTACACATTCGACAACAATAAACAATTTTTACTATCAAAATCAACTAACAAACAACAACATGGATATAAAAAAGAAGATAAATTAAATGGTACGAAATAATTGAAATATTTGTCAATCTTATACATATTTATTGAAATGATTCTCTTTTCTAATAAGGCATGCAACTGAGTCGAGATAATTCGATGATGGCCATCGATGTAACACTGAATGAACGTGACTTTGTAATTGATTTTGTTTCATTACAATTAACACGTTTACGTCGTTTAACACACGGTATTGATGTGCCACTAGGCATTGTTGTAGAAACGTCTGATGATCATAAATGGCTTGTTCAATGTCTCGAAACAAGTCAATTATCTGTATATGATTTTACTAAGAATGATATTTTAAAACCAGTTAAATACGACAATGTAAATGATATTGCTATTGAATATTTTGGCAAACATCATTTGATTGTTGCACATACAATGAACAATAATTACTCACGTTTATTATTATATAAAATATGAAAATAACATGACATTTCTGAAATAATTGGTTCGTAGTCATGTTTTTGATAAAAAAAATGTTGTTAGAGCGTTCTTGCACAAACTTTTTTCTGACAATTTATTGTTGTAAATAAAGTCTGAAATTTTGTTTTCAATTAAATAATACTTGATATTTGACTGTATTTCTTCCTAAAATACACGGAACATTAATACTTCTTACTTACACTAAAAAAAAATTCTTTTATGTTGGATATCGTGGCAAATTTACACGCTTATGCTTAATATCAATTTTAAGCTATAAATTGAAACTAAAGAACACGGTACACTCTATTTCACTTTCATTTTTTCCAAAGCATCTCAAAAATATCAGTTTTATATCTGAGTAGATAAAACATGTGTTTAGCAATTTATTATAATATCTTCCACTTTTTCACTGTCGTTTGCTTTAAAAAGGCTGTGAAGTAAAGAATCAAAGTAAATATATAAACTTTTTATCTCTTTCGCTCTATCAAGGGATATTCAGTGATATTTTATTATTATCTCTATTTTTCTACTACATTCTAATATGCCTACTCCCGCTAACCACGTAATTTTATCATATTTTTACCTAGTGTATGTATGAGGAACGTCATATTTTGAATTCTATCTTACAATCAACAAATCTCCCATGTATTCTTTTTTTCATCATTACTACAAGAGTAAAAACTGCATTAGGTAAACGACAAATTATGCTCAATTGAGTAATGAACTGACAATGAAGAAGAAGAATTTCGCACTTTTGAAAGTGTTCATAAAATTTTAGTGCTCGAATTGATAAACAAGTCTAATACACTATAATAAAAGATCATTTCAGGTAGAATAAAATAATCCCATAATGTTCTAGAAAACTCAATAACTCAGCAAACTAAATGATGATAATCAATGGAGGATGTATCAGAAAAATTAAATTAAACTTTAAATCAATAATACATTCGATGTCTAACCACGCCTATATTTTCTCGTATAAAATATACAACAATCTATCGATAGTAATAATACCACTTTTATTACTCTAAAAATATATTCGCGCCACTAAAAAGTTTAAACTATTTTGAAATTTTCTTATGATAAATTTTTGGTCTAATTTTGATAAGACGAAAAACTATCATCATCTACTAATTTCTTTTAGTTAATAATATTCATCTTTAATAATAATTATATTTACCGTAGAAAAAAAATGGGCTCTAGTGCAAGCAATAATTTAAATAATAATGAGACTATTGAACGTTTTAAGTTTAAATTTATCGATTGTGCGTGTAAATGTGATGCAAGAAAGAGAAAAATTGATAATACAGATCAAGGAGGTACTCCACAAGCGGTATTTATGACCGCACTCATGCCACGAATTGAACGATCGCAATATGATCTTCGTAAGTTTTCTACTAAGAATAAGTTTTGACAGCATGAGATTTCTGTTTTGTCTCGTAGATTGTGATTGTGATTGTGGTGAAGGTGTTAAGCTTGGCTTTTTATTCGGAAATAGTTCATCAGCTGCAGACAATATGATGACTAAAGAAAATCAAAAGTCAACGGGATCCTCTGACAGTAGTCATTAACAATTTTCACTGATGTGAAATAACGAATTTTTAGGTCAATGTTTTATTTCTATAGACTACTATCCATGTCCAAAAGCGGTGCCAGTGGATATTTTTTGAATAACTTTTAAACAATGGTAATTAGAGATTTGTGGTTTTCATCATTCGATAGAGTAGATCTAACTGCAGCTGTGTATGCGAAAAAATACTTAAACGTTCCGCCACCATCTGGTGCCGTACCTTGCCGGTGTTTAGAGACGGGATTCCCACACAAAAACTTTCGATTGAGGTTTTCTCGACCGAAGGTGGATTAGAATCACCGACCGAAAGTCTTTAGACAACAAATCTTTCTCAATTTCTTCCATTCTTAGTTGCTTCTTTCAAGACGTCTGATTTTTGAAGTCAAACAGCTCATGAGAAAACACCAGAGTACGAAAAAGAAAATAACATCTAGTTGTACTAACTATTGGTATGTACAGGGCAGATTTATAAAAACTAACATTATCGACACGTCGGAAGGCTGAGCAGAGAAAGATTACGTAATCGGTTCTCTATAGAACCCATCAGGTATTTGCTTTTTAATTAGTCGAAGGATTCTGCTTAATCTAACGTTTACTTTACGAGGGATGCAATTTCTCTCAGAAGTTTGGAAAGAGGGCTTAGACTATCTGTATCTGTCTCCCAGCACATCGAAGTGTTTAATTCATGTTTCATACATCGCTCAAATATGTGATGATGATTCAATTCAAAGCGATTTATCATCGATGAAGAGAAGTGTGGCTCTCACTACGAATAGAGACATATTTCACCGACTTGTGTCTTAAAATCTATCTATTTCATGTTTTATTTTATTCACAGAATAAAATATGATTGACTAAGATCGAGTGGCGGAGCCAGCTATGGGCGAGAGGTGTCTAAAAAATTTATAGATTTCGAGCATTAGATTTAAATGAGTTTACCTCTGACGGAGTTTAGAAAATTTCTGGGCTGAGCCCCCTCTACATCAAACTCCTGGCTCCGCCACTACTAAGATCGACCAGTCCAAATGAGAATTAAGACCTAAATAAATAGAAAAGATTAGGAATATCGGTATGAAAAACGAATTGGGTCATTGCAGTGGTATTAACATTCTTGAACAAATTCTTTCCAACTACGTTCTAAAACAATTCGAAGTGGATGCATTGAACCGGTTACCCATCGTGCGCGTAAATATTTGATTTTTACTTTTCTGTTGAGACTTGTTTTCTAATAACTGGTGTGTAAGGGAACTGAATGTGAGACTTTCGATTGTCGGTTGAATAGACACTAAGATATCGATGGTTATTCGATTTGGCAGTACGATCTTGCAGGATCTTATGGTAAGATCTTACAAGGTCTTATAGCAAGATTGCATAAGACATCATCAGATCTTGTATGACACCACAATTCAGATCTTGTATGACGACCGGCTTAGGTCTTAGGTCAGTCAAAAAAACGTCGAGATATAGGTAATCAATCGACCACGATGAGTCGAGTAATGATGTTTATTTTCAGTTTTCAAGCGATTTGAATCATTGAATTGAAGATATTCGAAATTTTAACATTTCAACGTTATGTAGCGCTGTGCAGCGTATTCCACGTCAAAGATTCACCACCGTACACTAGTCTTTCGTTGTATTTTGACGTACACCCGGCCAACGTATTACGTCCATTTACATCCACCAAACCAGTATTCTACCATCGACCAGATAGGTGTCGACACTTTTGTTCAAAAACTGATATTTTTTGTAAATTGTTCTTTGATCAAAAACAAAGTATTACTAAGTGAAAGCGCACGTGAGTCCATTTACATACAGTCTTCAAAACAAGTCACCCAGCTTGTCTATGTTTTTCTCAGAGATACTGTAGCATTTCTAACATGCTTTATTTGTATTTTGTCTGGCCCAACTCGTGAGGTTTTCAATTAAACAACTAAGGGTTGCATGGATTTCTGAGCAGTTTTGCTATAAGATACGAAGACAATATTACCTGAAAAAACAACATCAGAAAAACATATCTGAGACTTCTGTTTAAAAATTCTAGGTCGATCATTGCAGGGTGCTTCCACACAGGTCCGCTCACTCCATACATAGCATCTTGCCGCAAAAATTTCACTTTGCCCGTCGTGTATGTTGTATGTATGTTGTCAATCCATTTAAGGTAAGTCCAGGAATGCTCAGTTTTTTCCATTAGTTCAAAACAGATGCTCTGTGTAGAGTAGGCGGACTTGCGTGGAAAGCCCCTGCAGTTTTTCAAGACAGCAAACCGAAAAATTAAAGTATTTTATAAACATTCCTGTAGATCTCAATAATGATAAGAAAACTATTAAAGGTACCCAAAACCATGTAGTTTTTAACGCCTATTTGCAACGTCCATATTCCGAATTGTCCCAAATCAGTGCAGATGTACTTTCAGGAGCAAAAAAGAAAAAACAACGGCTCATCATTGAATGAGCTGCTGTCTTTTAATTGCATGAAAGGATGAAAAGCTCATGTCTTTTTGACTAGATGACCAAACGATTTTCCACAGCAAAGCTGTTATATGTAGAGATTTATTACAATTTCGTGTCCTTCTCAGTGACTGACCAACTGGCAAAGCTGTAGGTGGTTCATAGCATATTTAATGCTTATTCATTTTCGCGACAAAGACGCTATCACTAGAAATAACGACTGTCTCCCGAATATGAAGAATCATGCCTCTCTAATTTAGTTTATTCCGCAGATCGACTTACTTCGTTCTTTCTCTTCAATTTTTCGCAATGATCGACTCATGGTGTTTCCACTCGTCTTATCAGCGTCAATATACGATCAAAGATCCATTACTCTCACATAGATCTGACGATATGATCAACAAAGAAAAAGATTTTCTCGGAAATCAATCGCTTGGTTGTTTTACACAGAACATTCATAGCATACAGAGTCGATGAGCTTATTTTCATTAAACCGTTGTTGAAAACTGTAAATAGATTTAAGAGTACCTGCAGCCCTATTTTTGGCTCTTCGTAAGATCGCCGCCAAAAATAAACCACAAGCAATAAAAAGTTCGTATTTTGAGGACACATGAAAAAGTATTTTAAGTGCCTTTTCTTTTCTGTTTCAACTCTTTCTCTATCATCTTTCTCGGGATTTCGAGAAAACTCGATTTTCCACTGGCATCCGTTACGACCGCTCGATAAACTCATCCAATCGGGCTCGAATTTTTACCACAGGTGCTTTAAATCCTATCACAGAGATGATTTTTTCCTTTTTGAAAATATTACTTTCTTCCGCTTTATAAAAGACTTTTAAGAATGAGGGACTTTGGCTTTTATCCATTTTCAAATATTTTTACTATAAATTGTGAAGAAAGCAATATTTTCAAAAAAAATCACATGTGATAAAATTCAAATTCGAGCCTGATCGAATGAGTTTCCCGAGGGGTCGTAACGGATGCCAGTGAAAAATCGAGTTTTTTCGAAATCCCAGGAAGGATGACAGATAAAGAGTTAAAACAAAAAAGAAAAGGAACTCAAAACAATGTAATAAGAAATACAGCACTGCTCCAAACATGATTTTTCAGATAATAATAAGATAAATCAATAATATGGTCGTGATCATATATATAAAACAAAAACATGTATTTCTCTTTTTTCTCTTATCTGTTCTTTACTTTTTTGTATGACTATAGTTTGAAAAGCTACTGTCATTTGATTATGCAGATGATGACGAGTGTAGATCGTCGAAATATCAGTAATAAATTATTATTATTATGATTTGAAAAATCATATTTATAGCAGTGCTGTATTTCTTATTACATTATTTTAATTTTACTGCTCTATCGAAGCCAAAACACTTTTTCATCTATCCTGAAAATATGAACTTTTTATCACTTGTGATTTATTTTTGGCAGCGAACTTACGAAGAGTCCAGATGCCCTTAAATAAATGATAAATCACTAAACTTTATAATTTCAAGCGGAGTTAAACTTTCGATCGAGCTTCGTGACTCTTTGTTAATAATGAATTCGACTGCCAGTTACCATAGCTGATGGTTGAGAATAATAGCAAATCATCGAAATTGTTATTATAATGGAGTGAAATATTGACATCTTTTGATTCGTTTTTCCATCGAACTTTTTTCTATACGAGCAGAATATCTTGAAAGAAATAAAATAAAAAGAATCCTTTTCCTTATTAGTCTGTCGCAATGGACTGTGTGCTCTATTAGAGTTATTTTTTATAGCGCACATTTTTGTTTATAATCTGTAGATTTAGTCAGAAAAAATCCACGTGGTGAAGATAAACAATGACTTTTTTTCTGTTCCATTGTACAATAATCGTCCAGTTTGTGTGTGATACTGAAAATGATTTAAATAATTTCATTTTCTTTACACGTGTTGTTGAAAATATAAAAACAAGCGTATATAAAAGGAATCTTCTTTTACTACCATAATTTTACCTCAATAGTCCTTCCACACAAACACGCCATCGCTCTTGCTCTTTTCAGAACAGAATGTATGCACATGTTGTCAATCCATTTAAGGTAAGTCCAGGAATGCTCAGTTTTTTCCATTAGTTCAAAAAAAGAAAGCTTAAAACAAGCACTTAAAACTTAGATTCAGGTAAAATAACTTAGGTTCAGAATGTGAAAGACGATAGTTTAGATTTTTACACTAGATAGTAACTACTATTATCATTTTTAGTCTTGAAAAACTTACTTTTGAGTAAATGAACGAAATCTTCAAGAAAAACCGTCTCAGAAAGATCTTTGCAGGACTTATCGTTTTTACTGAACTTGATAACTAAAAGGCAGACATTTTAGATTTAAATTCCAAGATAATTCGAAATCTAATGAAAAATACTAGTAACTTTGTAGTTAAGCAGCTTTCAAATAAAAAGCTTAATTGTTCCTTTCAAGTGCATTACTTTTTCAGAGAGAGAAAGAAAGATGTTTCTCTGAGAATACTCTGCCATATTGACAGCAGTTTGTTTAGAAGAAGGTTATTTATAATCAACTAAGAAAAGTGGGCAGTTAATGAAAATTTTTTCCATTTTTATTCTTTATTTTCTAGAAGTTGAGCATTAATGCCCACTATTCTACGCCATCACGTTCAATACAACAAAGTTCACCGACAATGGCACAGACATGTAAACTATTTGTTGGTAATTTGGCAACACAAACAACCAGCTCACAACTACAAACAATATTTCATCAATATGGTCAAGTAATTGAATGTGTTAAAGTGCGTGAACGATATGGATTTGTACGATTCAATTCGGCCGATGAAGCAAGAGAAGCATTAAAAGCATGCAATGGTATGTGTTTACACGGATACAAAATGATGGTCGAATATGCACAAAATGAAATTTTAATAAGTCCTTTATCACCAGCATCTAAATGTGCGAGATCAAATGTTGGCGGTGGAAGAACAATACATGCATCACAGGTAAGAAACATATAAAACAGAAAATTTCGAATTTTTATGTAAAAGTTTTATTTCAACATTTTCTTCTTAGGATACAAAATTAACTACGCCAATTTCAGTTATAACGAATCGAGCTCAGTATTCTTCATCACATAAATGTGATGATATGCCTTTATTAACAACACCATCGACAACAACAGGAGGAGGTAGTTCAAGACTTATTTTATCAACACTGAATCCTGAAGCATCATCTTTCATAACGTCCGATTATTGTTCATCTGGTAAATCGAATAAAATAGTGTGTTATGCGAATCAGACACATTCGTTCTTTTCTTTTATAGGCTCATCAACAAAGTCATTTTCGGTTCATTCATCATCACCATCTATCTTATCAGAAATTCCATCACCGTCAACACTAACAATGTCACCAGTAAAAATCACAGATTCAAACATTGGTCTATTGACAACGTCAGTAGAAGCAACAAACCAAAATGAAAAACGTAAGAAAAACAATACGAGTCATTCTTCTATTACTCGCATATAGATATTGGTAGCAATTTAACGTAGTTTGCATTTTCACTATACAAAAAATCGTGGAAATTTCACTTGTCAGAGAGCAAACGCACATGAGGTTTAAAGGATGCATTCTCATGAGCCCATCAAAAACTTATTGAGAAATGCAAGCAATCCGATGATTTAGTGAGTTCAAGAATATTTTTTAAAAATCTGTCTTCACGTTATACTTTCAGGTCAAAGTTTTACGTTTATTGGTGATAAGATATTAAGTTTATATGGTGGAAATAGTTTGTACACTGATGAGAGTGATGATGGTTATTGTTATGATAGTGAGAGTTGTTCATCATCGCTCGATTATTATCAAAATAGTCACACTAAACTGAAAACGTCTACACATAATTCAACTCAAAAATTAGTATTTGATAATCGTCGAATCGATGCTCGTGATCCAATATTTATATGGAATTTTGCATTGTATCCCGATTGTGCTATAAGTCCATTTATAAAGCGTGGTGATATCAAAGGATTTTTAGAAAAGCGTGTTTTATTATATTCACGTTAATATTTCTTGTTGTTTGCAAAATGCATTTGCTAGACAGCTTTATTCTTTTCAATAGTGTACTTTCTTTTTTTTGCTGTCTAGCTCTTACTTGTGTCCTAGTCAGATTCTTCTTTCAAAACAATATTTTTACCGATTTTCTGTTGTCAGATAAGGTACTAGACGTATTACCTTTCTGTTTTTTTTTTATATTGTATTTAATCGAGATAATTAAACCCATTGTCCTCTACTTGAAGTTTCTTGCCTGTAGTCCGTCCGTTATTAGATTATTTTTTTATGAATCTGATGATCATATTTTTTTGGTCCAGTTGTACTGATAGAGAATCCGTCCAAATAATAAATCAATTCTTTTTTTTTGTCTCTTTTTTCGCTGTTATTTTTCATGTTATTGTGTGTTTGTGTGCGAACTGTTTGTTATTTCTGTCTTTCAAAACTTTCAAAAAAATTTCCAATATGCAATAATAATTTCACTACATTTTGTTCATTTTTTTTTTCTTCTTCTCACCGTGTTGATTATTTCTTAAGAAAGAGAAATAAAGATTGATAGCAATCATAATTTGATTTTTTGTTCATTCATCATCGATCTTTTAGCGGCTACATATTCACATTTTTTTAACTTACCAGATAAAACGAAAAAAAAATGCTCTGACTATAGCAATTAACTTGTTCTTTTAGAGAATTTTGCGATGTTATCATTCATAGGAAAAAAAAATGATCGTTGTTTATTCATCTACAGTAAAATAGACTAAGCTGTTTTAAAGATAAGTTAATTTTGTTTATCTGATTATTATCAAAATAATGCGTGGTTGCTTGCATTTTGTGCGAGCATGCACGGATAAAACAAATTAGAAAAAATGTATCTTCACGTTTTTTTGTTACACCCTTTTTCTTGTCTATCTACTATTGTCATTAGTCGTAATCGCAGAAATTTCCTTCGTCTGGTGTCAGTATAACTGTCATAAATGAAAAAATAAAGCCAATGAAGTTGACAATCAACTGAATTAATTCAACTTGAAAGAAGCATAATCATGATATCATATTATATTTTTGGACGTATATACGTAGATAAACACTAACAAAAAAAAAATGTATAAAGACTATAACACCACATGACTTGACTTCATATTTGATTTAGTTTTTGTTAGCTTTGAAAAAAAAATTTCCTTTGCAAGCCATCCTCTATATGTCAAAATCAATCAATCCAATAAGTACAAAAAACAAAAGGGAGAAAGTCCCTGACTGTAACATGTCAATTGATATACATCACCAGTTATTCTAACAGAATAATAAAATATTACATTATATCGATTACCTTTCATGTTTCTGTAGCAGTTTTTAAAACCGCGGATTAACAATATTTTAAACCAAAAACTGTTAGTATAGATGTCAACGAGGAAAAGTACAGGTCAGTAAACTTTTGTAAAACTATACAAACAACGGATATATGTAAACTTTTTAAATAAAATAAAATATTTAGAATTTTATATTATCATTCACACATTAGAAGATTCAAAAATTTTATTATGAATCTTTTGATTTGAATAAATAGTGATTAGATCATGGTGACTAGAAATTCATACAGAGAAAAACGTTAAACAATTTGAATAATTCACAAAATGCTACGAAAGATTTTCATTTTTTTGTCATAATTTACAAGAAGTTCTCCAATTTTTATTGATATTTACTTTTATTCCCTTTAAATTTGACGAAAAATCAATTTCTGTCTCTCTCGCTCTGGTGATTCAAAAAAAACTTACAAACAGCACTTAGAACTTAGAAACAGCATTCAATTTACGAAAGGTCCCATACCACAAAAATCGGGACAATTAATAGGCAAACAAGAAAAATATGCTCTTGGGACCTTCCGTAAATTCAATGCTGTTTCATGAAAAAAGTTCTTATAGAGCTCGGAGACGTCTCATTTTGTCCAGAAATCTTTGCTCTATTTGAATAAACTAATGATAAAAAGTTCAATTATATTTGTACACAAGAAAGTCAATAAATACACAGGGGGTAAGTTTTTTTGGATCACCCTGTATGTGTCGGTGTCTCATCCGATAGGAAAAAATGTGTTTTGATCACCAAATTTATAATTAATTAGATGAATAGAAAGGATTGATTACTGAGTAATTTACTCAATCGAAGAGCATCAAAAAAATCTCTTCTGGTCTTTTTTGATCAAAATTGTTTTCTCACCATATATTCATAGATTTTTTCATTGTGAAAAGTTTTTCTTATATTATTGTACGGCAAGCTGAAGAAACAGAGAATCATCTGGCAGATATGAACAAACGTACCATATAGAATTTACGGCCGAAAACGCTTTTGTAGCCTTGTCACCTGAAAATTGATCTTGCGACAAGTACATACACACCTACGAGGATTTACAGACCTACAGAATGCTCGCCAATCGACGTTTTTTTTCTATAGGACAAACGTTAGGTAAAAGATAAGATGAAGGTTACCCATGGAAAGTCCATGATTGTATATTGAGAAAACAATTTTAATCAAAAAAGATCGGAAGAGATTATTTTTATGCTTTTCTATTAAGAAAATCAAGCAGTAATTGCTTTTCCTTTTCATTCATCTAATTAATTATAAATTTGGTTTTCAAAAGTCTCATGTATGATGATCACTTAATAAATTTGGTGATCAAAAATATTGGTAACCCATCGGATATGTCTTCTTTTTCCCTTCTGCTTATCTATTTTTCTCTCATTTTTTACTGAATTTTTACTGTTCAATAGTGGTTTATTGTCAACCCGATAGCACTTTAATGAGTTATACGAATCGTGATTTATTGCTTCAATCTTAATGACGCTCATAAATCAAACAACTGCCTCAATCACACATACATCTATAGAGAGAAAAACAGTCAAATTTTTCTTTTTTTTTCTTGATCTGAGGAGGCATTTCTTTCATTGTTGATAAGAGAATGCATAAGAAGACTATCAAACTATAGGAAAAAATTATTTTGTTGACACCATCGTCACATCAATTTATATACAAGTATCAAAGAAAACAAAACAAAAAATCTGAATAGATAGAGATTTTATTCTAGTGTAAACCAAATGTAATAATTCGAATTGATTGGACTGTATATTTTCTAAAGTTATTTCTAGTTTTAAAAAAGATTAATCTTTCTTTTTTTATACTTCTCTTAGATAAATAAAAAAATATGACTATGCTACAGAAAGTAAGTAAGACATTTTTACATGTTTATGTATCTTGAACATTTCACTATAAGCTTATCAATTAATTGACTCAACTTAACTCGTTATCGTAATAATGTTTTATCTTTAGAAATATTTATTACTAGTGACATTCAGAATTGAATAGAACATACGTCAATATATTGAGTACAATTTTGATTGAGTATCAATGGTAGATTTCTTGAAAATAACTTTTGAAAACTGTATACACCTGAATTTTTATTCTATTGTTTATAGAATCTTACAAGATCGTTTTCGAATATATATAATTTTGATAGAAAACGAGAAGATAAATAATTAATAATTGTCTTTTTTATAATCTTGACTATTGAGATCGGAGATTTTCTGTCTTTTTTAACAAATAACCATCATCTCTGAAATGTACAGTCTTAAAATGTTCTATCGACGACGTATCGCCAATTGAGTAATCTCAGCCACCCAAGCAAAAACGACCCAATTTTTTGGGTTATTTATCTAGATTCAGGTCCACGTGCATCTAGATGTACGTGGAGCTGAATCTAGATAAATAGCCCAAAAAATTGGGTCGTTTTTGCTTGGGCAACTAAATGATATAATTCGATGAAAATACGATCTCTTCACATTAACATATCACTAAATCGACAAATTTTAAAAGCTTCTTCGATCAAGATTGACTTCTCCATAGTCAAGTATCTTCGTACACAATAACTTGTGGATAGGAGTCCTTCAGAAAACTTTTGTCAACATCGTTTTGACTCTGGTCCGATGTAGTAATTTTTTGGAAAACGTTTGAGCAATATCATGAGCAAACTTTTTTCTAAACTATCCGATCCAAAAGTTATCAACACGTACAAGATAATCGACTATGGAGAAGACGAATCTGCAATCGATTTTGATCGAAGAAGCTTTTAAAATTTTTCGATTTGATGATATGATCTATCCATTAAAATTTGAATTTTGCCTTATGTATCATACTATTTATGATGTATGCGTGTGTGTATGTATGTATCTATAGAGATGGACATAAGAAAGAAATAGAAATGAAAAGAGGGATATGTAATTCATTTTGATCGAACAGTCTGCTAGGTTTATTCCACATTAATCATTTTACATATATCTCTATTATGTGTACGTGATCGTCTATAATTGCCCATTCATCTGACGGTGATGAAGTATTATTACCAACACGATGAAAGAAGTCAAAAAATATATATATTCATAGATACGGTCCACTAGATCACTGTACATTAAAAACACCATATATATACAACTTATATATCATTCACGTCTTTTTTTATGATACGATTTTATAGTTAATATGTTCATTGACAATCGTCAAGTCGCAAACGTCATCGAAAAAATCAATCAAAATCAAAATCATTTGACAGTTGTTCTAATCCCAATTCTTCTTTTCTCTTTCCTCTCGTCGTTGATGATAGTGTTGATAGAAAACCATTTTCTTCTTTCTCTATCGATCCTATATACATACATACACACACACACACACACATCATGACAAATATTGTCCTGTTAATTCGGATTAGACCGTTTATCAGCATCATCAACAACTAGCCTTGACAGGACAGAAAAGAGAGAAGCAATAGATTACTGAAACAACAAAATAGAACTTGTTATTATGATGTACAATATTTATCAACTAGAATGGGATTTTTGTTTTCAAACTTTGTAAAATGTGTTTTTTATCCATAGCTTTTCTTTTCTGAAATCACCCATCGTCAGATGTCACAATATAATCAATAATATGTTAAATGTTTAGTAACATCGATCTAATCCATGATTAAGAACTAATACTGATATGATATAATATAATGTAGAGTTAAGATATTCCAGTTCTCTTTATCTTAAATGGACGCAATATGTTGTCAGATGATGTGGAATTTTAAAGTCTGTGAAACAGAATTCTTTTGTTTACAGTGTATATTAACTTGCTAGATGTCTCTCAAAGAGAATGTTGAGTCCAGTGAAAATTATGTACTGAAAACCGCTCTTAGGTCGAAAACAACCCAATTATAACACTGAATATGATTTGCATATAACGTTTTTCTTAATGTAGAATTTATCCTCAACAGTCAACACTATGAAATTACTAATGATTTTTTATCATCAAAACTATCGAAGACATTAAATATGTATGGAGACGTGTTTGTGAATAGTAAATGTATCTTGAATATGTTTGTCTATTTCTATCACATTTTGAAACAATAATTCAGTATATAGCGATGGCAGTTCTACGATTTGTGTTCTTCATCGAATCAATCCATCAAATAATTTCTTTTCCTTACATGTCAAAGTGTGTGTGTGTAAGATGTGCTGCTGATTAAGTATTAAGCCAAATCAATTGTTCTTATCCATATCTATTTACTCCTACATATTCACGTAGAGAAATTCTATATAAAATTCGACATAGAACATATATTTGTAAGATATTTTTACGTTGATATTTCATTTTGAAATAAAAGACGAAAAATGATCTTATTCTATATAGCATTTGTTCATATTCATACGAGTAAGTATTTAAAAAGAAATTGAATCTTGTCTCTAATCTACTGAACTGTCAGATAAATTCAGATGGATGATGGATGTTTCATATGTTTCCATTAAGTACATCGCATTAATTAGCTAAAATTTGCTTTAAATGTTCTCAAATATTCTCAGATATTTTTAACAGTAACAACAAAAACCTCTGATACTATGTTTATATTGCGTTTATAGAACAAAAACAAAATTACAAGCTGTTATGCTCACTCATGTATAGTATTCTGAATAAGAAACAGAACATAACACAAAAGTATGTTAAAGTCTCGAGAATTGGTTAAGATTACTACGCAATTAGTCAGTGAAAAAAAAATATTGACATCTGATTGACAGAAAGAGTTAATCAAACTGACGGCATAGTGTTTAAATGATGAAACAAAAGAAGAAAAAAAAAAATTGTTGATCGCAAAGATAATATGAGTAAAAAAATGATGTATATGTTTATGTGTGAGATAGAATACTCTAAGATCAGCAGAGGACACATGAAAAGTGAGAGCGCGCATTTGTAAGTAGTTATACATAGAGAAGAAAAAATAAACAATTGTACATATGGATGTTCATTATTGACAAGACATAGATAGTTCCGTAGTTCTGACAATATATGAGAAAAAGTTTTCCTATTAGTTTCATTTTTATGTAATAGCTAATAGCTATGAACAGAATGATTGCCATTTTTTTCTCCTTCTCTTTTCTTGTTCGAGACATCTAGATTGACAGGCACTTCATTTTTTTCTTTCTTCGTTTTTGTTTCATATAGTCTCATCAATCAAACTCTGATCAGCGAGGCTTTTTAATACTAATCATTTACAACATGTGTACATTGAACATTTCTCTCTTTCATAGCTGACAGCGCAAGAGAGAAAAAAAAGTGAAAAATGTTTGTTTTGTTTTGTCATAATATGTAGGATATAAAAAAAAGATGGAAGAGTTTTTTTCGTTCAACAAAAAAGAAAAATAATATATGAAGAAAGAATTTTATGCTACTTCTGCGAAAAAAATTGTCTATCCACCTCTTCCTAAACTTTTAAACTATGGATAACAATTAAAATTAATCAAAAATTGTTAAAATTAGTTTTTTAGATCGATATTATGAGTGAACAAGTTCTCGATTTAAGAATCAATAAACGTAAACGATTGGACGACGAGTCGAATGTCAATGATAACAACAAAAAGAAACAAATTATCACGACTTCTCAACCGTATGATACACCGTTAGATTTATCAAAAAAAACTAGAATAGATCTAGGAAAAAATGATGATTTTCATTCATTAATCTATCCATTAACTGTACCGTATCCGTTACGTTCTTATGATCCATCTTTAGTATTTAATCCCATGTTGTACGATTTATTTATTTCAAATATGAACAATTACCGCAATACAGTTCCATCCGTTGCAACTTACATCGACATTCCGACTACGTCTCGTCAAGCAACACCGATCGTAAAACAACAACAACGATCATCTTCTATCGTCAAAGATACGTCGTCTTCTTCAACAAAAGACGTTTTCATTTCAAATGTAAAAGAACGTGAAATATTTGCTTGTTCATGTGGTGACAAGTATACAACATTAGCAAATTTAGTTAGTCATTTAAAAATAACAAATCATAGTGCTCAATTGTCATCAACACATGATGAAGTAGCAAAACTGGTACGTGGTCAAGATATATGGTTATCAAGAGATACGAATCCTGCAAATCAAATATTAAAATGTTTACGGTAAGTTAATAGAGAAAACACTTATTGATATGGATTGATGATATTGGGCTTTTTTAAATGTTCCAGGTGTTCTCTTTCATTTGAAACATTACCAGATTTAACTGCTCATATGATGAAAACAAATCATTTCACACAATTAATACCACATCGTTCTGATCAAACAAAAACCTCAAGACAATGTCGATCAACATGTCTCATTTGTTCACAACAATTTCTACGAGAAGTAGATCTAGGTGTGATATTTTTATTTAAGTTTTTCTCTCTTATCTCTGTCATCTAACTATGATTTGATTTTATAGTCGATCATATTCAACGTTCTCATCGTATCCGTCATACTTGTACAACTTGTGGAATGTATTTCGAGACCGAACAAACATATAAAAATCACATAGCAAAAGAAATGCATCATCGAAATGGAAAAGCCAATCGAAATCGTGATTATTTTTTAAATCAATTTAAATTTCTAGAAACGACATTAAATCATCCAACGATATTTTGTAATCGACGATCTCCATCTCCTGCCGAACACAATGATAATAACATCGATAGTGAATCATCATCTCCATCAATAAAAACCGAATCATTGCCTGTTGAAGAAGAAAAACAGGTATCTATTGATAAAGACATTGAAAAAGTTGCTTATGAACTAGTTGAAAATGTTATTTTACCAAAAGTCGAACAACAAGAAAATAAAAAATTAACAGGAAATGCATTAACATTATTACAAAATTTTGTAACGAAACAAACCGTTGACGATAAAACACAGAACAATAATGATAGTAGCTCTTCAAAACGTTTTAAAGCAAAACGAGTGCAACAATCGAATCTTAAAGTAAGTGCTCTATTGGCACTCGAACAATTGACACATAATTCAATAGAAAATTTTCAACAGCAACTTCCAATAAAACAAATACTTGATAATAAAACAACATTAGCATTTAAAGAATATGACGATAGTTTAGATGAAAGAACGCTGACTATTTCACTTTTATCACCTTCTCTGTCTTCCAGTTCGTCTTCCAATTCATCAAATTCATCTATTGTATCAAAAAATGAGAATGAAAGTCCATTAGCAAGTTTAGAAAAAATGGTGTCATGTCCTGAAACTACTTCTTTTCGCACTGGCACCATCACTACGACAAACACGACAGCAATTGTACATAATCAATTAGAAACAACAGAAATCGTTTCGTCATCACAAATACCAATTAAATTAAAAACTATACCGAAAAAATTTGAAAAATATAGGATGTTTGCGCAAAAAATGCTTCGATCATCCACTTAATTTGTTTTATAATTGTTAAATCTTCTATAATAAAGTTGACTATTGCAGAATATACCATAATGACGCAATTACATTCTTTCTAAGCTATTTTGAAGCTGCATGTAGACCAATCGGCGTCTGTTTCTGAAATACCATCGGTGTTTTCGTTCCTACCGAGGATTAAGGACCGACTTGGATTATGAAATCGTAACCTAAATTCGATCCGATAAAAAAAGGATCAGAAACGTCTTTTTGGAAAAGAAGCGCTTCTTAGTAGAGATCTACACGGGTACGGGATTCCCGTAGCCGGATACGGACAGGTTTGAAAAGATCACGAACGAGCATGGACGGGTAATCGTTCTCTCCGACAGGCACCGGTTTTGAAAACTTTTTGTGTAACAAATATACAGTTTGTCAATGCAAAACAAAAGAGTAACTGACTCGTTCAAATATTTGGCTGACGTGAATCAAGTGAGGACACTTGGTGAGTACTCAGACAAGAACTAGGAAGTAAAAACACTCGCCAAGCCACTGCTATTACTAACATGGTAAATGGGTAGTAGCAATTATTGCTTAGGATCATAAACCCAAGTCAAGTTTCTTATCCGTCGCGACGCGAATCGCTGAAAAAATTCGCTGCATTCGCTATAAGACTAGCGAAATAAGGCGCGACTTTCCACAATTACGGTTAAGTCGCGCTCGTACGAAAAACCCTCGACTCTCGAATAGTTCAAGACGATCGCCACTTTTTCGCGATTTCCGCTCACTAATAATAAGCGAGTCACAATATTCTTACCGTGATCGCGACTGAATCGTAAACTCGCTACTCCACTATGCAAGACTTATGACGCGATCACTTTCCTCACTGCCACTCTTATCCCTTGCTTTTCCTAATAATTAAAATTTGAAATTAAGTCGCGGTCGAGGCTAACATTTGCCGACTGGACTATACGATGAATAATCGCTGAGATAAACTACACAACTTTTTGAAAATTTTTCGAAAATCAGTAGGAATTATATACTTTGAGTCAGGGACTGTCGTGGACACCAATTTCCCGTCCATGGGCGCCCATGGGCGGAACAGTTGCGTCCGTAGGCGCCCATGGACGGACAGTTGCGTCTATGAGCGTCCATGAGTGGCACCTTAAAAACCAGTTACGTCCGTGGGCATCCATGGATGGCACTTTAAAAAAGTTTTGTAGTTAACTGCAAAGCTAAGTTTACATGTTCGAATGTTTATTCGTACAAAATTGATTTTGTGTTCTTCGATAGGTTTAGTTTAGAATACTATAATGGAATATTTTTTTGCTTGTATTCTGAGAATAAGGCTTATACCAAAGTTTTGCATCCGCATACATGGGCACAGACGGGCGTTCTGTTCATGGACGAAAACGTTTTTCCGTAATAAAATACGACCAAATTATCTGGTTTCTGTCTTAGAAGCCCACTTTATTCTCTATATTCCACAAGCATAAATCTTTTACATTAAGAATATTTAGAAACGTTAAAACAAGGAAAAACTGCTTGAAAACTAAGACAACACCTTACTAACAAAATTCCATTTAAGTCCATGGGCGCCCTTGGACGCCCATGGACGAGCTCTCAAGCATTTTTTCGCCCATGGATGACAGAGACACGGAGGTCTATATGGGCGCCCGTGGACGTTCGAGTCTATAACAGTCCCTGCTTTGAGTCTACGCACAACAAAACGGTAAATAGAATTGCCACGAGAGTCCTGTTACGACTTTGTTTAATATCGCCGTTTGTTCTGCATGAACCAGAATTATAAATGAATCGCATTCTTTTCAAAATAACTTGCAAGGTTTTTTATTTTAAAATTTTTTAAATGATATATATGTGTTGCTCAGAATTTCATGAAATTTCTTTTGAATTGAGTTTCTAAGTCTACGAAAAAGTCGAAACCTCTTCAAAATTATCCAACTGAAGCTATTTTTCTCTTTTTGCACATCTAATTTTTCTGCCAAACAAATAACGTGTACCATCAGTAGTAGCTATTGTTTTATCAATGTCACATGTTCCTAATAGGATTATCATCATCATATATCATTATATAATGATATCGGAAAACAAGTCAGCTCAGATCAAATGCCACCCGATGAAAAAGGATAGTTACGAGTTATTAAGTATGTTTGCCCAATCCTTTCTTGCAAACTCAAACGTCGAGTAAATTTGAGTTATTTTATGAATATATCCTTAGGATATGCTCTTGTAGTAGGAGTGGTTGAAACTTGGCTGAATAACTCTATACCGTCCACTGCTGTTGCTTTTCTAGGATATGAATGTTTTTGTAATGACAGAGGCACACTAGGCAGAGGATGTATTTTTTACATCAAGGATTGCGTATAATCACTAGAAGTAGTCCGAAGAGACGATTCTCAAACGGAAAGTTTATATGTGAATGTTTTGCTTCCAAAACTGGGGAATACTCTGTTTGTTATATGTTATCGATCAGCTGAGGCAATCGAGGTTTTTCTTAAGGACCTACAATGCACTTTAGGAAATTTATGTACTACTTACACTTATCGAGGAGTAGTTTTAATCGGAGATTTCAACGGACACTGTATAAAATGGTGTAACACAAAAAGATCAACGAAGAAGGTCATCTCTTCACTTTTGCTCGGGATAACAATCTTTATCAGTTAGTTTGAGAATCAACTCGAAGGTCAAATGCAGCTGCACGTCCGGATACTTGTTTAGACTTGATTTTTACTGATTCTGTCCAGTTAGTTAGTAAGCTTAAGTCAAGAATTTCTTATGCGATAGGTACGATCATGGAACAGTGAAATTTACAATTAATTAAAAAATCATCATTTACTCGGAAAAGTTACAATTGCAAGAATGTGGATTGGGATTGCTAGCGTTATGTTCTTTTTAACATCCTTTTAGCATCCATTCAGTACATTTTTGATTCTAAGTATAACGTTGACAACCACCCAAGTCAAAGATTCACGACCGTATACTATAGTACTTTGTCGTATTTTGACGTAAACCCGGCCAAACGTTTTATGTCAATCGTAAACCATGTCGTTTAAACTGAAATACGACAGTAGTAACGACTGACATAATACATTGGCCGGGTTGACGTCAAAATACGACGAGGTAATTTGACGCATACGATCGTTGAAAAATCGATTTTAGAAGCTGCTAATACTGCAATACCTCATAAAATAATAAAAGTAGAAGTGGAGATCGACCTTGGTTTTCAGATAAGTTGCGTACACTTTTAAAGAAAAGAAACCGAGCATATCGTAAATACGTTAAAATTAAATCTACCGTCAGTCATCATAACTATCTTTTGTTAGCAACAGAATTTGAACAATTTTGTAAAGAATCTAAATCAGATTATATTGAGCGCATCAACAATACTCAGAGTTCAAAAAAACAAGGGTGGAGAGCTATTAACTTCTCGTTAAGAAGCAAAAAACATCTTCTGTTCCACCTATAAAAAACTTAACCGAAAATTGGTTAAATAAAGACTGTAAAAAGGCAGACGCTTTAAATTCATACTTTACGTTACATCTATTTGTACGTTATCATCTTTAGACGATCAGAAATCCATGCCCAAACTGATACTACATGCTAAGTCGCTTTCTTCGATGTATCTTCTGATGAAGTAGATACTATTTTGAAATGTCTTGATATAAACAAGGCTAATAGTCCTGGTGTAACTGCTAGACTACTAAAAGAATCAGCGCTTATAACATCTACTTACCTAACTCAGATGATCAAGTCGATCTTTTAATACGGGGATTTGCCCAGAATCTTTCAAGACTGGATATGTAAATGCGTTGTTTAAGAACGATGATTCCAACTATAGACCCAATCACGCTTTTGCCAATTTTAAGCAAAGTGTTTGAGAGGATGATGCATAAAAATTCATATCAGTATTTGCATAAAAACAAGTTACTTCCTTCCATGCAGTTTGGATTTATAAGAGGTAACTCAACTGTAAATCAACTGATAGATCTCATTCATACTATTCATCTAGGTAATAATCAAGATTTAGTCACTCGTACTGCTTTTTTTTAGACTTCTCGAAGCTTTCGATCGGATTAGGGCACTGCTGTATAAGCTTGAGTGTAAGGGAGTTAAGGGTACGTTGTTTCAGTGGTTTCATAGTTACTTAACCGATAGGAAGCTCATAACTGTGGTTAAATGAAAAGAGTCTAGTGCGCTGCTGATAAGTCGATAGTCTTAGCCCCTTACTTTTCTTAGTGTATATTAATGGCACTGGACTCACGAGGGAACGTATCCAACTGTCAAATCGCTTTTCTAACGAAATGCGGTACCTTATAGGTAATCGATCATGCTGATTCCGAATATTATAGCCATTTTTCCCCATAGACCTTTCCTAACCGGTTTCTGGAAAATTTTTCCAGAAACCGGTTAGGAAAGGTCTATGGGGAAAAATGGCTATAATATTCGGAATCAGCATGATCGATTACCTATAAGGTACCGCATTTCGTTAGAAAAGCGATTTGACAGTTGGATATATTCCCTCGTCAGTTTAACATCGACTACGAGACTTTTTGCTGATGATACAGTGATACATCATTCTCACAAGAACGTGGATATACTCACAGTTGTATTAAATGAAGATCTAAAAAAGGCCTATTGTTGACAGCTACCTTTGAACGAAAATAAATGCAAAAGTATGAGTTTTAACCAGAAATGAAACACATTACGCCCGATCTTCTTATTAGTGAAACAGTACTGAAAGAAGTTACTGAGCACAAGCATCTGGGAGTGATTTTTGCACAAAAATTAAACTGGAAAGCTCATGAAGGATATGTGATGAGTAAATGTAATAATATTTTAAATCTAATGAAGAAGTTTAAAAGAATATTTAGCACATCTACTAAACGAAATGTACAAATCTTTTGTTTTACCCATAGTAACTTACGCGTGTGCCGTTTACTTAAATAAACATAGCATTTACAGATTCGATCAGCTACAGTATCATACTAGTTTAATTGTTTCTGCTGGGTATTTTCGTATAATATTGTCTTATTACGTGTCAAATTTTAATAGGAGTAAGAAAGTCAAATTCGCAAAAAAATTCTCTTCCGACGAAGAATGTCTGAGGAGGGCCCTTGTCCTGAATTTTTGTCAAACAATGTTTTATTCGTAAAACTAATAAGTGATAGATACATCACTCGATGTAGTTTTTCACGCTGATTCCGAATACGTATAATTTGTCTTGATAAAATGGTTTTTGATATAAGAAAACTTAACCCCACCTTAAAAACCAGGGTTTTTTGGAAAACCTATATGTCTGTCTAGTTAATAAACCGCATAAAACTGCGTGCGCTATAGATGCAAGACACCGAGATGAATGTTTACTGTAAATTTGAACGGTATCAGAGTTCAGGAAAATTTAGGAAGTCGATTGCACTGGTAACGTAGCGAGCAAAAGGAATTTCCTGGAAAAAACTACGGGTTTTTTTATCCACACTTTTTAAGATAGAGTAAAATATTTTTCAGCATCAGATAGCTGGCATTTTTCTGCTCCAGAAAATATCACAACGAAGTGTTTCGATCGCTTTGTTCGAAATACACAATCAACATTTTCACAAGTTTGCACAAGTTAATGCTGGCACTTCGATCAAATTATTGTTTACACAATCGGAGCTTATCAAGGTTGAAAATAACATACCTCTTACGCGCACGAATTTTTATGATCTGCTTATGGTCTAGTCTAAAGAGCTGCAGCGACACCTAAAGGTGTCTTTTATTGGCCAAATTTTCTAGCAATCACTCGATCCGAGGTTTTAGCTATCAATAAACTATCAAAGTTCATTATCAAGTCCGAATAAAAAAATGAAAACGAAAAAATAGAAATCTGAAACAGAACACAATAGCTTTTCAAAACTTCTTAATTCTGTTTACCGACAGATGAATATATATTAACGTCAAGTTATTATACGAAACTTAAACCTGTTCACTGTTTTGCTACGTCCTTTGTCATACCTTTTGTAAACGGCATCTCATTGTTTTCTACTTATATAAATTTAGAGTCTAGTGTATAAGCAAAAATTCTGTCTTGCCAAGCTCGAATTATCAAATTGGTGTTCCACTGTGCATTACTGTAAGGTATGGTGGCATTATAGCTGATGTTCCCCATAATGAAAAAGTGTTCCACCTTCAGTGAATCAAAACACTTTTTCATTATGGGGGATACCAGCTATAATGACACCATGCATTCACAGTGGAACACCTGCTATAGGAACACAACATAACATTATAATCTTAAGCTCGAGCGTAGTGAACAGACGAATCATTGGATATTTTGTCTCTTATCTAAACATTTTATTTCTAGTTATTTATGATGGCTGTTCGGCTATCATTTCATCACGGTAACTGATTTATTTGAGTTTAAATATCTTTTAGTAATGTGACTTACTTTCTATTAGGTATCAATCACTTTTATATTCTTCAACGGTTCAATAATCAAAGCTTGATAAAACGAACCGTCACCTCGGCAAGTAACAGTAGCAACATCGATAAAGGACCAAAAACAACAACTTCATCACAAACATCATCTCAAAGTCAAAACAGAGGAAATACGCCAACAGGTTCACAAAAAGAAACACCATCGCCTCAAACAAAAACGCCTCCAACTCAACAGTCTGGGGCTAAATCAGCTAAAAAGCGTAAGAAATATAACAAGAAATGAATCGCATATAAAAATGTTTTTGTTTCTATTAAGAATCATTGAAAAGCGGTGGTAGGGATGTGGTATTGATCGATGGAGTTCGTACACCGTTTTTACAAAGTTTTACATCATATAAAAATTTGATGGCTTATGAATTAGCTCGTCATGCGTTATTGTAAGTTAATTTATGGTCTTTTTTCTTTAGAGACTATGAGGAACCTTTATTTTATTGCCCAATTTAGAGGATTAGTCAAACGAACAAAAATTGATAAATCATTACCAGAATATTGTGTAATGGGTACAGTTATTCAAGAAGTTAAAACAAGCAATATTGCGCGTGAAGTAAGTTGTTATCAATTGAGTTTACTAAATATATACAGTTCGTTATTTAAAGAGTTCTATTTCAGGCATTGTTGAGTAGTGGATTTTCGGATAAAATACCCGCCCACACCGTAACTATGGCTTGCATTTCATCGAATGCAGCGATCGCTACAGGTTTGAGGTGCATCTGAGTATTCCTCATATCATGCTAATTTCTCATTTTGTTCGCTTTAGGTGTAGCTAATATATCTTCTGGTCAGAATGATCTTATAATTGCTGGTGGTGTAGATTTTATGTCTGATGTACCAATACGGTATCCGCGTTCAATGCGTAAAATCATGCTCAGTTTAAACCGTGCAAAATCATTACCGCAACGACTTGGACTTATGACACAAATGCTTTCGCCTAAAAATTTCAGTCCAGAAGTAAGTTTTCAAATGTTCTTTACTAATTCAATACTCTTCTGTATCTTCTATTGCTAGGCGCCATCAATTGCTGAATTCTCAACTGGTGAAATAATGGGGCAATCAGCAGATCGCTTATCAGCAGCATTTGATGTACCACGAAAAGATCAGGTTTGTTTCTGGTCTTGTTTTTGTATCTGTTTAAGCATATCTGTATTACACTATTAGGACGCATACGCTTATCGATCACATAAACTAGCACAAGAAGCAACGGAAAAGGGCTATTTGGACGATATTGTCCCCTATTATATAGGCGGTAAAAAAGTGCACTATTTTTTCTATTTTAAATGTCTTTATTAATGGCTTTATGGTATATAGGCGAATCAGATGCAATTTCGAAAGATAATGGAATTCGTGTCTCATCATTAGAAAAAATGGCTTCACTAAAACCAGCATTTATCAAACCGCATGGAACAGTCACAGCTGCGAATTCTTCATTTGTGGTAGGTTATTTTTGTTTATTGTTTTTTTTCTCCTGTCTATTACAACAAATTATTTTTTTGTTCACAGACGGATGGTGCATCAGCTTCGCTGAGTAAGAATGAACTTACTAGCATCAGGCTATTAACTGTCTCTTACGCTTTATAGTTTCGTCAGATGAAAAAGCAAAAGAGCTTGGTTTAAAACCGAAAGCATATTTAAGGTTAGTTTTCTTCAAATTAAGAATGATTTTTAAAAGAAAAGTATTTTGTATTTTCTCTTCAGACGTTACGTTTTCGTTTCACAAGACCCGAAAGATCAATTGCTTCTTGGGTAACGGAGAGTAATAAGCACTTTTTGCCTCACTGTTTTTTTCATTCCTTTTATTTTCAGACCAGCTTATGCAACAGCCAAACTTCTCGATGAAGCTGGTCTTACTCTTAATGATATTGACGTATTTGAGTTTCATGAAGCCTTTGCTGTGAGTTTGTTTTCTGGAGCCAAGCTACGCAAATATTGTTTCTTACTTAGTAGTCCGTATTTTTGTGAATAATACATAATCATGTACGAAGGCGGGATAAATCTGTCCTTGTGATTTTATATATTGTATGCTTGAAATAAGAATGATTATTCGTTTTCTCTGCGATATATTAATTAATTTAAGAGTCACTTTTGTGTCCAATTTAGGGTCAAATTCTAGCCAATCTAAATGCATTAAATTCAGATTACTTCGCCAAAAAATATTTGAATCGTTCAGAAAAAGTATGTTACGAGTCTAAAATATAATCTAAACATTCTCTTTGCTTTTTTTCACCGTTTAGGTTGGAGCTATTCCAATGGACAAATTTAACTTATGGGGTGGCTCGTTATCAATCGGGCATCCATTTGGTGCTACAGGAGTTCGTTTAGTAACAACAGCGGCCAATCGTTTAATACGCGAAGACAAACGATTAGGATTGGTTGCTGCCTGTGCAGCTGGTGGACTTGTCAGTATAATCTTAGAATAGTATATGATATTATATCTTCATGCTATTTTCTGTTTTATAGGGACATGCCATGCTCATTGAAAGATATTAGGAACAAATTTGAAATTATTTATTTTCATTTCTAATCATTAAAAAAAACCGGATATCGCAAAGAAACATGATTTGTTATTCAATTTTTGTTTTTTTCGGTCCTTATGGATCATGCTTCTTTTGTTTTAATTTTGTCTTTCAATCGCTCCTTTTTTTCTCTCGGCTGTAATTTCTGCTTTGTGTTTGTTTTTAGAGGAATTATCTGGACTATTAATGAAATCTACCGCTATTTCCACTCATTTATTTGATAGTGTAATGTTTATTTTCGTTTTTATGTCGTAAAATTTGGTTATATATGAGGGAACACTAAATTATTTGACTAGTTTGTCGCTAAATGATAAAAACAAAACTGAACATTCTTACATAAAAGGAGTATGATCTTGTAAGATCATATTACAAATTTCACAAGGTCTTATGAAATCTTGTGATAAGATCCTACACGAAATTCACAGGACCATACTAGAATTCATTAGATCTTATAAGAACTTCATCTGGCATATACATTGCGACTTCACATATCCTTGTATATGACCTCATCATAGAATCTCATGACAAGAAATTTAAACATGATACACCAATGACTGCTCTACGATCTCGAAAGATCATACAATTGTATGACCTTGCGAGGTTTTAATAATCCATATGGACTGGTGTTGTAGATCTTGTTATAAGATTTCACAAAATTTTACACGCTTTTCCAGGATCTTATGATAAGCTTCTATAAGAAAACATATCTTGTTATGCGTTTTTCATGTGGGTTGTCACATTTCTCGCTTTTTAGGCCTTTTCCCCCTTTTCTGAGCTTTTTATGTTGTTTTTCACCAGTAAAATCTTCTAAGACACAAACTTATATCTAAGAACAGAGTTATTAAATTATAAAATTTCAGAAAAGGGACAAAAAGTTTTTTTCAAGTTGTCAGATCTTTATAGGTAGCAACACTGCTGCTAAAATTTAGAGCTAAAACGAGCGACAAAAAAAATAGAAAAGAAAAATACTCGATTTGAACAACTGATCTGTAACTTTTATGCATCTCAAGCACGAAGTGTGTTTAGACAGCTAAGTTTAAGTATTTAAATTACGCACTAAACAGCAAAATTCTACATAAAATGACATTTTACGTTCATTTTCTTAATGTTATCTATACATTTTGCACTTTGCAGCGAAACAACAGATCAAGCGTGGTGCTAACCGGTTTCTGATTGCTCTGTTTCTCAGATATATTCTATTATTTTGACTTCTTCCCTCACTTTAGCTCGAAACAAGTAGCTGATACACACTATAAATAGCGGGTATGTTATGATCATTTTTCAACGAAACCGCAGTCGTTAACGGAGTATTCCAAAATAAGTCAGTGTTTACTCTACGAATAACGAAAACTAACTTATTTTTTGGACGTGTATCGAAGGCTCAACTGCGCCTTTCAAAGATTTTTACTTTTTCAATGCAAACTATTTCATTCGATTGAAAAGTCTTTAAGAAAAATTCTGCATTTGTGTACTTCATTTTGAAGAACCAAATACCATTTCTTTTTTCTAGCGTATCAAGCTAAAACTGAGCTCGCGTTGGCAACACCTACTCAATTCCACTATTTTTATATGATATGAGTAATTTTTCAAAACTTGCGAGAAAAAAGTAACGAACAGAATATCTTTTCTAAAAATATACGTAAAACATCGAACAGCAAGCAGACTACTCTAAGTGCTGTTTCTGTTCTACAGCAAGCATCACTTCTTTTCTTACGCTTGACTCTGGAATTTCACTGCACACCCAAAAAAACAACACAATTATATCCTACATTTAAACGCAAAAAGTATCACAATCGGTACTACTTAGTTTCATCCACTAAAAATTAAAGTGCGTTTGCCATTTGCACATGGAATTCTAATTAAGTTTCATTGTATATACATAAACACCGTCTCGTATATGTATGTAAAAATATTGTCCATATTTCGCTTACTTCCTCTCAATCAGCCTAAAAGCACACAAAATAATGATTGTTGTCTATCAAATTGTCACATATTGTTACTGCATATGTTAAGTATTTTTTTATTCAATTCTATAGATGTGTGTGTACTAATATCATGCTGATCTTTTCATCTCGTTCAATACATTCACAGAGTGATGGTTAAATCAATCGCCTTCTATTTTTACTACTTAGAAAGAATACGAGATCTATAGATAATGAACATTCATCCATGGTTGGTGATGAATTGGGAAAACTTCTTGCTTTACTCGTCATAAGAGAAAAAAGAAAGAGAAAACACAAACGTGATCAGATTTTCAGATTTAAACAAAGCGAGAAATAATAAGGAAAAATAATCAATGACAAGATGAGAGCACTTAATTTAAAGTAGTTGGATAGTTAGCGTTGCTGACGATTGAGAGTACTTCTCTCGAGAACTGCATTCTCGAAGAAATATGCGTCATCGAACTTCAAACAATGTGAAGCGAACTTCTTCATTCATAACATATTTCTCGTTTACATATTAACGTTGCTACGGAAAGGAATCGTGAAGCTTTGCCATGTCATCTGCGTACAAAAAAACGCCCGTTTATTCTGAGATTGTTATAACAACATACTTTTTATTAAATATCATTAAATACTTATTTACATGAACTCGTACTCGATTCTTGATCACTGACAACGTCAACATCACCCTTACTGTGTTTATCTTTTGTTGTACTAGATGACAAATCGAGAGCAGTTCGACGTGCTTGTTTTTTATGCTTCATTCGACGATTCTGAAACCATGTTTTGACCTAAATACACAATGATATCTAGTAAACAAGAAAAATATGTCAGAACTAACTTATACTTGTGCTTCGCTAAGATTTAGAACATTTGCTAATTCAACTCGTTCCGATGTACTCAAATATTTTTGTGTTTCAAACCGTTTTTCTAGACCATTGAACTGATGATCACTGAATACTGTTCGAGCTTTTCGCCGGCGACAATGTTTCAATGAATGTTCACTGTTCAAATAAGCATGACAACTTAATCCTAAACACGTAAGCAATGCAAGCAACAATCAAAGAAAACCATGATTTTGTATAGTCGAGAACGGAAAATGAGCAGAGATGATATCTATATGTTGAAGAACGACAGGATGTGAGCCTTGAGTTATTATAATAGAAGTGCGTTCTTTCTTGTATAAAACTTCTTTACTTTGATTAATTCTGTTCAGATTACAACTCTTAGTGCATATTACCCAACGACAGATTATGCCTCCTTTCCCTCACTTCTATTGATATCGGTAGCATGTACTCTAATCTGGTTATTCATATTAACTTCATTTTAACTTCTACATAATATACTATCGTATAGAACCATAGAGACAATGATGTCTGACCCTATGATAAGAAACCTTCATTTCTGCTCGACGTCATTTCTCTCTCTTACAAATAATCAAATATTTTACTCGCATGAGAAACAAGAACTCATCATTAGAATCCATTGTGACGCAATGCTTGTTCTAAAGAAAAAAACTGATTGTTTCTTCTTATGGTTGACCATCCTCTTGTAGGGGCAGTATATATATCTAGCCCTTACCTGCATCAAGTCGATCGAACATGATAAGCGAGCTGTTCGTATTGACATAAAAAACTAGTCTTAGTATTTTAGTAGGAAAAGTGTTCTCTCTTTACTCATTAATCACTCAACAAACAGTCATAAAGTATGACGTGTATTTATAATACATGCAATTGTTAGAAAAAGAAAATGAAATGATGATATCAAGAAACAAGGCATACAGCAGGTAGATACATAGTTGCAAAACTATAGCATTCAATAGACTTTTAGTGAAACATGGACGATGGTACTCAGCTTAAAGAACCATCAATACGATGGTGAGAGAAAAGTTGATTAAAAAACTGAGTATAACGATCTCCAGAGTGTAGAGAACTGTCACTCTCAGTCACCGTCTCAAGGAACTCTATTTTTCCTGTATTAAGTGATTCTCTAATAAGCGAATAGTAACACTGGTATTTCACACTAGAATATATTCTTTGATTTCAAAAATGAGCGGCAATTTATCTTTATTCCACTGATTAAACATTCACTATTTTCCCAGTTGGAAAGGACAAAATCGTTGCATGATCTATTTGCCACGATTTAGTCATTATCCTATATTATGTATTATTCGATTTTAACACCTAGCCATCTTTTAATGAACATCTTACTAGCTTTGAGCAAATAACAACGGCTCGTTTTTGACAAGTGTGCACGACACATCTACAATAATGTATTTTCAAAGAAGAAAAACGATAACGATAAATGTCAAAGTAAGTGACACAAACAGAGAGAAGGAAAGTACGAAGTATAGAGAAATAATTAATTCAAACTTTTCTTCTGGACATCAGCACTTCTTAAGGGACAATCGGTCAGAAAAATGTGTAAGCACTTCCGTAACGCAACTTGTTTCAGGCGATATACGCTTGACAAATACGGACTAGGGGCTATACTGTTTCTAGTTTGATTTTAGCATAAAACGCTAGTGAAGATATCACGCACCAACAAAGAGCTCACTGGTCACAGAGAAACTCACCATGAAAAAAGAGCGGATATAATTCTGGTTTGATCGCTGCATACCGACTAAGTTGCTCTGGGAGTGAGTAAAAATTTGGAGAAAATATTGTTGAAGCCAAATCTGAACCTTGTGGCGCTGATCTTGATGATGTGATTTCATCTGAAACGCGATCAATGTTATTTGGTGGTGAGCGTGATGAGTTTGTATCTAACGATGAGGACCTTGACAATAGTTCTGTAATTGAAGATGGTTGTGACTCTGGAGTTGATTTTAGTGGTGGTAATGACAAGACGGTTGCTGCATTTTTTAATAGAATATCTTCGATTAAAAAACTGTTTGTACCTAACGAATGACTACCGCGTTCGGCTCCAAATACTTTTGTCATCGCTTCAACAAATGATGCTGAGATTTGTTTTTTATTGTGTATTTAGCCACTTTCTCTTGTATTAATCCACTATTTTCCCATTGGACTGAAATTTATTTATGACAAATGCTCTATTTGTTCATAAATCAAACTAACTAATCAAGTGATAATAGCAACTATTTAGTAAATCGAAAGAAAAATATTACCATAATAGATTGCTACCCATTGAAGAGACAAGAAGAAGAAGAGTTAAATAAAATTGTAGATGTCTTCTAATTCTTGTGCCGCTGTACAAAATATGAATGGCAACAATAAGCAGAAAAAATGTCATTGGTAAAAGAGAAAAACAGAATGAATATTAAACATGGCATAGATTGGACAGAAAAACAAGAAGAAAAAGGATTAGGAGAGAGAGAGAGAGAGAGAGAGGGAGGGAGAGAGAAAAAAACGAACACTACTGACCCACATTGTCGAACTTTTAGTAGTAACTTTTACAGATTCGCTAATAACGAGTTGCATAAGACACATGATTATATCAGTGAAAATATAGATATACCAGAACCGACCTCCATTCATTTTATTTTAGTTTGAGAATTTCAGATGATATTCTTAACAAAAGCATTTGCTTCCGTTTGAGTCAGTTTTGAATAACTGTCATGTTTCTAAATAAAATCCAAGTGGTTTTGAATACTGCACTGTAACCTGAAAGAGGGATAAATAAAAATAAATAATGCGTCCGCTGCATGTTCAAACGGTCCCTTTTAGGGAAGCGATGCCATTATTTTTACTGTGTCGTTTGTCAATATAACAGAACTCGAATTCCGTTTATTAACTTTCAGAACGATAATAACATTAGATCAGAATATAAATGGATGAGGAAATGAGATAAGATGTCTGTACTTTATATTTTAATATACATAATATCAGGTACAACTAAAATACAGGGAAGGTGATTAACTATGACATTCAACTAACTTCTTCAATTAGTGTGTGCAATGACAAGGAAAATTTTGGTCTTATCGAATTATGGTTACAGAAAAAGAAGAATAGGCGGTAAGTATCAAGTAAAGTGAAAATGTTACATTCAATTCAATTATAGCAAATACATGTTATTGTGTGACTTTCATAGGCGAACACAGCAGACTTAAGATGATTTCAAGTTGAATTTAATAAAATTAAGCATCTCGGCTGTTTCTGATCTGTTTCGTTCAAGAGACGGGCGTAGTTTTACGTTATTAGTGAATAAACACGTGGTATACAGTATTTCAGAAAGATCTACCCATGTAATAAAAATCGCATAAAAATCGGCAATTAATCGTGAAAAATCATACGATTAATCGCGATTAATTGCCGATTTTTTGATGATTTTCAGGTAATTTTAGCGATTAATTGATAATAAGTTCGAACCCATCTTAGGAAATACATATTTTTTTCTGTTGTTTTCATTGTTTATTATGTATAATGGAAGGGTCTTAGCACCAGCTGAAGTCGGAGCCTTTCCGACGCCTCGATTTTAGGCATTGCCCAGATACCACCTGTTCACTGGGCTCCTCGACGTAAAGCTTTGAGGGATCCCCGAGAAGACTTGGCAACCCCGTTTTACTCTAAAATAAAAAGATGATCTAAATAGAAGTGTATTTCTCGTTGAAATCGTGTTTCTTATATACAAACTTTACTGCAAAATAAAATGGTGAATAACAATAATCATTTAATCACTTAAAATCAACAATTAATCGCAATTAATCTGCGATTTTTCAAGAATCGCGATTAATTGTTAAAAATACCGCGATTTCGTCGACATGGGTAATACCTTAAACTAGTACAACGAAATTGTATGTCAAAATATTAGTATTTTCTGCTGGTAATAACAGCTAAAGTCAGATTGATGCTTTTACCCCAATGGATTGAGAAAGTTGAAACAAATCCAGTAGACAACTTCTGAAGCTAAACATGCTCTGTTAATATGCAGGTAAATATTCTATCAAAAACTACATATGAGATCATTGTACAAAGTTGAGAAAAATGGATATAAATACAAGAAACTGGTTAAAATTAAAAATAACAGCAGTAGTAACACACATAAAAGACTAGCGAATAGAAATTTTATTTCATAGAGAATTTTAATAGTCAGTGATTATTATCATTGTTCGACGCATTTGCTTCTAAATTTGCCAGTTCTTCTTGAGTTGATTCATGTTGTTTATTAAGCTCAGCAATTTGCTGTACCAATAATAAACGTTCTTGTAAAATTTTTTCCAATATTGTTTCATTCTAAAAAATAATAAATTCGAATTTGTGCTAATCTCGTATTAACTACGTACATTGGATGACTGTGGATATCTTATTGTTTGTTGTTGATTAGGTAAACCAGATTCAAATATATCGTAACTAGGCATATCAGGACTAATCATTGCTGTCCGAATGTGAGAGTTTAGTTCTTGTTCATCATTTTTTCGACCATTGTTGTTTGTTGTAACTGTATAAGTTTGTTTTATGATTTGATCACTAGAAGATGCTGAAGTGGGTCGTGTGAACTTTTTCGATGCATCTAATACTTCCGTATACGTTGAACGATTAGATAGCATAGCAGATGTGTTGCGATGAGCAGAATCATTAGTGACTAAAAATACAAATATTAGAACAAATGTCAAAACAGTTAGCACTAAAATTTTGAACAAATACAAACTATTATCTCTTCGTTGCATGATTGTGTTGCCATATGATAATAGCTCATCTGATGAAGCTGGAGTTAATCGTTTATCAATATCTCTCTTTGGCACTATTGTTGTTTGTCTATTGTTATTATTCAATTTCATCTTTGTTGACATCCAGTTTTGTGTAGTGTCATGTGATTCACTGGCATCAAAACCTAACGTTTGTTGTTGACGAGATGAATTCATATGATGCATTGTTGAAATATTACTTGTATTGGAATACTGTTGGTGTCCGTCGTACGCTATACGGAATAAAGCGTCATAATTGTCATAATATTACAATAAAATATTCGTTGACTTACATCTTGATTTCGTTGCTATTTCATTATTGACTAACTGACAAACGCTTTGCATCATTGTTTGGAGCATGGTTATTTGATTTTCTATTTTTTTTTGAAAATCAAGTTGAGCTTTTGCTACTACAGCTAATTGTTCTTTGAACGATGTCATCTCTTGACGAAATGATGAAGTGGATGACGCGTATGAATCTGATCCAGATTTATTTTTAGATATGATAACACACTGTATAGAAGAAGATAAATACAGACATGTACTTTTCTTTATTTTTTGTTCAACGAAAGTAGGTAGATATACCTGCTTCACATGTCCAGTTAGAGAAATCAATGCGGTTATAAGAGCTGTACTACACATATTCGGCTGACTAATTGTTCCATCATCTAATTGTAACAGAAAAACATAAAGATTAATAAACTGAAAATTTTGAGATAGATAATACCTCGAAGTGGCTTAAATCCAGTAACTGACTCCAGCTCTGACATATTTGATGAAAGCTGATTAAGTAACTAAAGATACAAGAAAAAGGTAATTATCTGTAAAGAAAAGGGATAAATGAATAACACACTGGTGTTAACGGATTGCCGGACGTTGATTGACTAGTCGTTTTTCCTGTTTTTGATATATCGGACATGCAAGAAACATTAGTCGAGCGAGTCGGTACATTTGGTTGTTGTAGACGTTTAGATGTATGTTCACCATCAGTTATAGATTTATTTTCACTTAACGAATAATGGTAAGCCGAACTCGGCCGTTGATAGTTTTTAGTTTTCGATGCATTTGAGTGTTTTAAACGCACAGGCTCGTTTTCAACTTCGTTGTCTTCGTGATCGCTCGAGCTAACAGACAAAGCATCTAAATGGTTGTACCGATGACAAATGTAACCAGGAAATTGAAAAAAGAAAATATACCCTCTTCAGACTGATCCCAATTTCGAGACGAATTCAGTGTTTTTGCAGAAGTCGGTCTAAAAAAAACAAATGTACGGTGAACGAAGCAAAGGTTTATTGTAATGCTACGAAACCATACCGTTGTCGTTTATTTCGATTATTCGCTAAACTTGTAAAATGATTTTTTCCACTTCGTAACTAAAAAGACAATGATATGGAAATTCAATTCATTCAACTCAAACACAAGCTAATCGCTGTACCAAACTGCTCTTGGGAACAAATTTATCCGAACGACCCAACTGTGAAACACCATTTGATTTTTGCATTAGTTCATCAATCTGAACAAAAATAATATTGCTCACGCTTGGAAAAAATTTAATACTCAATAGATTTACATCACGTTCACTAAATAAGATTTCTCGTAATATGCCCAACTGCTTCTTATTCTTTTGGCGTGCTTCTTGCACAGCTTAAAATAAACATTCTGGAAGATGATTGTGAATTAAGTTGCGAGTAAATACCCTTAGCAAGTATTTGGCGCTGTTTTTCTTCTTTTTGCAACGCGAAATTACGAGGTTGAAATGCTTGTTTTCGACGGTTCTGAAAAGCAAAACACTGAGATACCGCATGATTAAAAAAAACTTCATACCACTTCATCATCACTAAGTCGATGTTGAGAAAAATCACCAGTTGAAGTCTATAAAGGCAAAGAGACAACATAAGTATATTAATTTTAAGAGCGAATTAGATCATAATTCATTTACATCCCAATCTTGTTTCTTTTTTGTAACCGGCATACGTGCACCCCGTTGTGCTGGTTTCGACATATCTGCAACGAATTCAAAAGGTACTACAATAAAAACTGCACTCGATCCCATTCACTATAAATTTCTGTGTGACAGAAAACGGAAGAATAGCATGTTGTTATATTATACATTTGCATTCATACTACGATCGAAGCGAGAGAATTGCTTTAAGATGCAACAAAAAACAAAATAGATAATTTAACTGATAATACAAACAAAAAACGAGCGTTATATGTAAGATCACTTGGTAATCTGAAGATTCCTACCATGTTCTCAAATTTGGCAAGAAAAATTATACTCATTAATTACTGAGTAACTATAGCACTACCTCAGTAGTGTCATAGTCATGGAGCCAACGCACTAATGCATAAAAGGAATACTTGCTAATATTCACTCAAGCCTTTTCAAGCTGCTTTTTTGTAAAACACTCTGATACATTCTAAAAATACTTGTATTTTATTATGGTTGTCGCTACATTGTACTTGAGCGTAACCAAGCAAAGATGAAAGTGAAATACGCTACATGGTAGAAAGTTGTGGTTTCTTAATCTGAAATCTAAACAGAAGAGAGATGATTACTGGTTCACTTTCTTAATCTCTTCGTGGTTAAAATGTTAAAGGGCGGCTTATTGCCTTCACCGACAATTACTCCTTTGACTAATTCAATATCATCGAAAAATAAAATTAACAGTCAAACGTTTGTTGAATTGCGATCTGGTTAGTATCATCATATACTTATTAGTTTATATTTTTCTGTTGGCTTTGACTATTTAGATGTGCCAAACGTTCGAATTTACTTCAGTGTCGATGGAACAAAACCGGATCCATTTCAAACATTTAGAACGGGAAGGGTCTCAACATTTATGTACAAAGGTGCATTTCGACTAGAACCTGGCAGAAGAGTTATAAAAGCCCTTACCGTGTCTACGTGAGTAGCACATCACTTCATACTTGAAGGCTAATCAAGCAGATTATGTTTTAGTGATGGTCTGCATGAAAGTAATGTATCAACAAAATATGTCGATGTAAATGACACGTATTCTCAAAACCCTGATGACTTCAAAGAAAATGAAAATGACTCTTTTGATAATCAACAATTGTATATGGATAGAAGTCCAGTAATAAATCCAAAATCTATAACTCTACTATCTATGTTGCTTCCGTTATCGTTTGTATTTCAGGATCGCTCACCACTACCAAGGAGAAAACAATTTGAAAACAATAAACGACGAACAAATTCAGATTCAAAGCAGAAAAATACTCCTTCATTGTCAAGGTCACATTCCGGTGCTTTTGGCAGAAGAAATGAACCATTTAAACACATTAGATCAGCGTGGGATGATGCTTTCAATGTACAAGGATCAATTGAAGGTCCGATTTCACCAGTAAATTATGCGGGAACACAAATCAACATTTGGGGTATACCGCCTGGGGGACAGTTTGCTGATGAACTTTTTCACATGGCAAATCCATCTCGTAATTCGCAATACGGTTATATGACGGAAAAGATGCTCGAAGTATGGAATAAACTATATTTATTTAGTTGTATTAAAAAGTGTTTCTTTTATTAGCGTTTGCAACAACCAAAATACATTCCAATTGCCACAGAACCTCAAATTGCTGATATTACTCATGATAAATTGGAACAAGAAAATTTTTGGGATAAAAAACCCACACCGTTTAGTATGGCTGATGGAAACTGGAAAAAAACCCTTGAACATATTTTTTCAAACACTTATAATTATGTCAAAGATGACGAAGAATTACGTGAATCATTTGGATCGAAAAAGTTTGGCAGAGTAACTGAATGTACCTTTCATTTTACATTTTGCATTTACCATTTTTTATATAGATTGAATCGGCTGATCTGTTTGACAACGGAGATACTTATCAGATGGTGACGAATTTTAAGAAACCATTTAGAGGTAGGTATAAGATTTTAGCAACGCACAATGATTCAAAATTTACAATTTTTAGAGTATAACCAACAGCCAACATCGGAATTAGAAAATAAAAAGCCGCCAACGCGTAAAAGAGTACGAACACCTCGAGAAGAAGACAAACCAATCAGGCAGCCAGAGCGACGACCGAAACCGAACACTCCACCTCAGACATCTCCACGTACTTCACCTCTACCTGTCGAACAGCCTAATGAATCGATGCATGATGATCATAAGCCAAAAGTGTACACTGAAGAAACAGTACAACAAGGTACTCTTATTCCATTTCAAAATTTTAATGCTGAACAAGATTGTGAAGCATTACGAAAAGCAGTGAAAGGTTTGGGGACAAATGAGAGTATGCTAATACATATTCTTGGGAATCGAAGTGTTGAACAAAGATTAAAAGTCAAAGATACTTACAAGAGTATGTTTGGCAGAGATTTAACAAAAGATCTCGAGAGTGACACAAGTGGAAATTTTCAAAAAGTGTTGAAACGACTAATGCTATCGCCTGTTGAATTTGATTGTCATGAACTGCGTCGTGCAGTAAAAGTTAGTTTTGCCATTATTCTATTTTAAACTTAACAAAAGAGTTTAAATGTTCTTTTCATTCAATAGGGTGCTGGTACCGATGAGAAAGCATTAATTGAAATTCTCGCAACTCGTTCTAATAAAAGGATACGAGATATAGTCGAAATGTATCAAAAGTGTGAGTGAAATATACAATTCTATTACAAACTTTGATGTTTCGATATGTCCTTTTAGTATATGGTCAATCGTTAGAGAAAGACGTCGTTGGAGATACTTCGGGACATTTCAAAAAGATTTTAGTTGCATTATTACAAGGAAAACGTCCTGACTCAAATGAAATTAATGAAGATGATGTACAAAATGATGCTCGACGTCTTTATGATGCAGGTGAAAAGAAGTGGGGCACTGATGAATCGCAGTTTATTCAAATTTTATGTAATCAAAGGTATATATCAAAAAAGAGTTTCGATTTTCAAGTTTTATGCTTTGTCTGTTCTTTCTTTTTCTTTTGATGTAGTGATGTGCAATTACGAGCAGTATTTGACGCTTATGGACAGTTTAGCAAGAAAGATATTGAAGCAGCAATTAAATCAGAAACAAGCGGTAGTTTACGCAAAAGTTTACTCGCTATAGGTTTGTATATATGGTAGTCTCATAGTTCATCTTTTGTCCTTACAACGTGTGCAATTTTTTTTTATAGTACGTGTGATGCGCAATCGTCCTGGTTATTTTGCATATCAATTGAAGAAAGCTCTCAAAGTAGGTTTTTCAATACCTTTTACTTAAAATTCAATGTTACTTTTCAAAACACAAACATGTTTGTAGGCAGTTTAAAAGTATCGTCGACTGGTTAGTAATACATTGCATGATATAGTTGAAGAATGCATGCACTCTCATAATGTATAGAATACTTTTGCAAACTATATGTGCATTAACTTTGTTTTTATGATTTTAGGGACTAGGTACGGATGAAGAAGCTCTCAATCGAATTATAATATCTCGCTGTGAAGTTGATATGATACAGATAAAAGAGGAATATAGCCAAATTGGAAAACGGACACTTGAAAATCATGTTCAAAGCGATACGTCTGGTGACTATCGAAAATTGTTACTTGAACTTTTGAAAGATCCAAATCAGCGGACAGCCAATATAGGCGATGCAGGTATACAGTAGATATCTCTTTCTAACTATCAGAATAGTAATGATCTCTTTGATCACAGGAAAAACCGGAGATTTAACGTTACCAGGATATGAACAGCCACTTGTCTATAATGAAGAAATTATCGTAAGTCATTGTAACAAGGATTATGGTGATCTTTTATACCAATCGTTTTATCTATTAAATAGCAACAAGGTACAATGGTTCCTTATCCCAATTTCGATGCAAATCGAGATGCAGAAGCTTTGCGCAAAGCAATGAAAGGCATGGGTATGAGAAGATTAGCTAATGTATTCATAGTGTCATTCATCGATATATTGTATATATATTTAAAGGAACCGATGAGAAAACTCTAATTAATATATTAGGAAATCGAGTAACAGCGCAACGTTTACAAATAAAAGATGCGTTCAAGAGTAAATTTGGACGAGTAAGTAGTCGTACATTTGGAAATTTGTAAGTGTTATCATCTAAAATAATAGTTTATTTTTAAAGGATTTAACCAAAGATTTAATTGATGAAACGTCCGGAAACTTTAAAAAATTGCTTGAACGATTAATGTTGGATCCCGTTGAACTCGACTGTTTTGAGTTGAGACAAGCAGTCAAGGTATATTTGTCTTACCGTTCTAAAACGTTCAATTGCATTTATTTTAACCAAAATTGTGTGTTAATCGTATCTTAGGGAATAGGAACAGACGAAGAAACTTTAATTGAAATATTGGCAAGTCGTTCAAATGCACGACTAAAAGCTATCAATGATATGTACCCTAAAAGTGAGTAAAAAGTAGTTTTTTAAGAGTTATATGTCATGAATTATCTTATTCGATTTTCTTCATAGTGTATACTAAAGCGTTGGAGAAAGATGTTTCATCCGACACATCAGGTTCGTTTCGACGATTATTAGTGGCACTGTTACAAGGAAGGCGACCAGAAACAATCGAGGTTAATATTGAACAAGCGAAACAAGATGCGCAGACACTCGTTGATGCTGGAGAACAAAAATTCGGAACTGATGAATCCCGATTTAATGTACTGTTTTGTGATAGAAGTGATTCGCAATTCCGAGCAATTATCAATGAATTTACAAAATTAACTGGAAAAACGATCGGTACACACTGTTCTACTTTGAACTCTATTTTGAAAGTAACTAACAGACAGAATTGTATCGATTTCTAGAAGAATCAATCAAATCCGAAACATCAGGGGATTTATCAAAAGGACTTCTTGCCATTGTTCGTTGTATACGGTCCCGTCCACACTTTTTCGCTGAACAACTTCGAAAATCAATGAAGGTGAGTGAAATCATAACTCATTATTGAAACAAGAAATTTGAAAAATACCTTCATTTAGGGAGCAGGAACGAAAGAATCAACTGTTAATCGTATATTAATCACTCGATCTGAGATTGATCTTGTACAGATAAAGCAAGCATTCAATCATTTATTCAGCAGAGACTTGGAAAGAGATATTAGTGCAGAAACATCAGGAGATTACAAAAAACTATTGCTGGAAATACTAAAAGAGCCAGCTCAACGTGGTGCAACTTAATTTCGCAAGATTTCTAAACAAAAATAGCAATGCTTTAATTAGACAAATCACGTCATTAAACGAAGATCTCTTCATGCTACTCACACTCTCAAAAGGACTTCTTGCCATTGTTCGTTGTATACGGTCCCGTCCACACTTTTTCGCTGAACAACTTCGAAAATCAATGAAGGTGAGTGAAATCATAACTCATTATTGAAACAAGAAATTTGAAAAATACCTTCATTTAGGGAGCAGGAACGAAAGAATCAACTGTTAATCGTATATTAATCACTCGATCTGAGATTGATCTTGTACAGATAAAGCAAGCATTCAATCATTTATTCAGCAGAGACTTGGAAAGAGATATTAGTGCAGAAACATCAGGAGATTACAAAAAACTATTGCTGGAAATACTAAAAGAGCCAGCTCAACGTGGTGCAACTTAATTTCGCAAGATTTCTAAACAAAAATAGCAATGCTTTAATTAGACAAATCACGTCATTAAACGAAGATCTCTTCATGCTACTCACACTCGTGCCTATTCTTGAAATAAGACACTAGATACTTTAATATTTGTTTTTTCTATCTATAATGCGTACGTAACATTCCCATACTTCTTTTTTTGTTACAATGTTTATATATTGTTATTATTTTTTCTTCTCTATGTTTTTTGTAAATAAATTATTACAGCGAAAATTTGAAAGACAAGCAAACATTGATGTCGTTCAATCGCTCAAGATTATGCAAAAGACGGACATCGATTAACAGAAATCATCTCACAGATAATTTCATTTGAAAATAATCTAAAAAAAAAAGATTTGATACTACAGTAAGTAATTAATTAAATCAAATAGAGTCAAAATTTAAATTTTACTACGGTGATCGAGCCATTTTATAGTCAGATATTTCGACTCAAAGTTTTTTTAACTGATTCGTATGGCGATGGTAGATTGCTTCATTAGCGAAGAGTAAAACAGCAATATTGAATCCTTTTTGAGTTATACAAAAAGGTAGTCGTCGACGAATTGATTTAGTTAGATAACAATGTCTTGCGTACTTGAACCACAGTCTTCTTCTGACCATATCTGTTCTTTTTGCAATAACGAATTACAGTTAGATGATGAAGGCGTATCGGTTGCCGTCGATGAATATTCTAACGTTGTTACTCGAGAATTAGCATCGGACATTTTATCCGTTTCAACGATATCAACATTATTTATAGTTTGTATTAATGGTTCGTCACTTGTTTTGTGAATATTATTCACATGTCGTTTAGCATTTAATTTACTTCGAAAGTGTTTCCTACATTTAGGACACATATAATTTGCATGGCCACGTTTAACATGAATTTTTGCACTAGCCAGAGTCGAAAATCCCTTTAAATAAAGAAAAAAACAACGTAGCTAAATAAATACTGTTATATAAAAATGTTGAAGTACACACTTTTCTGCAGTAGGAACATGAATAAGGAACTAAATTAACATGTTTCGTTGATATATGTGTTTTTAAATGATTTTCAAAATTAAAATTTCGATGGCATAAAAAACAACTAAAATTTTGCTGTTGATTTTCTTTAAAAGATTATATAAATGAAATATAAGTATAAGAAAAGATTGAACCATTTATACTTACTGTTTTCTTCTTTTGATTGTTCGTCAATATGATGCTGTTTGTAATGTGCATACATTGGTTTATAATGAATAAAACCTTTAGAACAAAATTCACATCTAAATCAAAAGAAAATTATTAAATATAATATTTTTCGAAAACAATGTATTCATCTACGTACGTAAATGGATATTTCTTGGAATGTCTAACAATCTCGTGATCTCGAAGATGTTCGGGACGAAAAAATCCTTTAAAACAAGCCTCGTACGAACATTTGTATGGCGCATCAACACCGTGTTTTGCTTGATGCTGTTTTAACTTGTCTTTTCTAAAAATTTAACTAACTGTACATTTCTTTTTATAATTAGAGCAATCTAATAACATTACCTTGCAAATGTTTGTCCACAACCATTTTGTTCACATTTAAACGGTTTGGAATCAGAATGTTTAGTTACATTATGTCGTTTAAGATGAAAATTCGTTTTAAATGTTAAACAACAATCGTTACATGTTTTTTGCTTTGGTATTTTATGATGAACGAGTGCATGTTTTGATAATTGCTTTCGATTTTCAAATGTTTCCGTGCATGATTCACATCGATATAAATGAATTTGATCGTGTTTTGCCACATGATTATGATACGAATTCTTTTCTGTAAATATTTCAGAGCACATTTGACATCTATATGTGTGAGCGTGTGTTTCGAATTGTTCGTCTGTTTTAAATTTTATTTTACATTGTGTACATTTCCGTTGTTGTTGTTGTTCATGTTCATCTTTCATATGAGAATGATATTCGCTACGAGATGTTAATGATTTTGAACAGCGTGTACAAATAAAATGTTTTTGATCATGAACTTTAGCATGAGATAGATATTCATTTGGATTTGGAAACAACTGTAAACATTTTGTGTCCATACATCGAAAGACCGGTACGAGACGATGAATAAAACGTTTGTGTCGTGTAAGAGATTTTGTCGATTTAAACCAAAAGAAACAGACTTTACATTGATGAGCATAAGCCGTTGAATTTGATAATGAACATTCAGGCATATCTTGACATGTTGGCATTATCGAAAGTCCATCAAGTTCAGAAGAGCATGTACTACTGTCAACAGCAATCAAGTTTTGTTTCTCACTCTCAACTGGATTGACTGGTGTGCTCAAGGAACTGGACAAATCGTTCACAATATCGGATACATTTGTATTTGATTCTATGTCGACTTCATTATTAGACAGAGATAATATTTTTGTTATATCAAGCGGTGATGTTTGAAGTAACGAATCTAATAGATCATTATCATTTTGTGTAGTATGTGTTGTTCTTAACTCTCGACAATCACATGTGGTATCGTGTGAACTGAGCGTTTTTTCAAAATCATTAATATTTAACCGTTCATCGTCTTTTTCGGTAACCATTTCTTGACTCGGTAAGTTTTGATAAGCTAAATAGTTAACATAAAATAAGTGCAGCAGTTTAGTAAAACACAAAGGCTATCAGTTATTAAAAAATTGTATTTTATTAGTGGTTGGACGATCAGTTATTGATAATAAAGTCTGTCATAAAGCAAAATGACAAGTTACTAGATACTATCGAGATAACAGTATAACTCAGAATATATCCTTATTTTAATCTAAACGTTATACACTATCCATTTAAAAAAAAACAATGTCTAAAACGATATTTCTATTATCAATCTAAACGATATGTATATGGTACTAACTTTGATTATTTGATTCCATACCACTTTGACTTGTTTCATTTTCTCCTACCCATGTTTGGTGAACAAACACATGTTTTTCAAGTACATTTGGTCGAGCAAAACGTTTTTCACATACGGGACATTCAAGTAATTGATGTCCTTTCTCTGACATGTTGTGTATCATTGACATATGTTTCATAAACGATCGATTATTCTAGACCATCGATAAGAGACACTCAACATGTTTGTTCACAGAGGAAGATTTTCGCTCTTACTTTTAGTATTCTACCACAAACATGACACATTCGTCCTTCATTCGCTGGTTTATCGTCTAATTTCTTATTATGAACGATTTGCGCATGTAGTTTATGATCTTTACTTCTTATGAATTTCATGTTACATAAATTGCAATAGTTATTGTTATTATTTTCGTCGTTAGCTGTTTTTGATTCACTTTGTTGATTTCCGTAGGTGATAATAACAGAATTATTACTCGATTGTTCAATATATTTGACTTGAAAATGTTTGATAGCGATATGACGTCCTAATTTAAGCGATGTTTTAAATGTGAAACTACAATATCGACACATATGAAATGTACTTTTATCAAATAAGGCATGATGAGTGGTTAAATGTGTATCTAATTCAGCATAGGATGGGAAGACAGTTGAACATTGTGGGCAAATGAACGATGGTTTTTCGATTTGAAAATCAACATGTTGTAATAAATATTCATTCGGATTAATATCAAGAGTAGTGTGCTCTTTCGTATGACGAAGATGATGACGTAGTTTATATTCTGTACGAAAATTTTTCTTACATTTTGGACATTCGGTGACAAAAATATTATGTTCATCATCTAAATGATTAATAATCTGAGTTCGAAATCGTGTAAAAAATGAACAATATCGACATTTAAACGTTCTTCGTTCATTGGTAATATCCGTTGCACTTGGCATCGCTGAAAAAAAGTAATTAGTTACGAACATACGAATATATAGAAAAATTTTAAAAAATACTAACCATCAATAATTGCTGAAAGAATACTCTCCTGGAACATTCCATCGTCTATTTGTATTTTACGTTGTTTTATACTCGGGGCAGATGTTGTATTTTCACTTAATTGTTCAACAGTAGTTGTATCGATTTCATCTTCAGATAAACTCTCTATTAGCAATCCATCATCATCAAATTCAAACAGGTCATCATCGTCATCTTCCTCATTTTCACTATCGTTCATCTATAATCACATAATAAAGATGATTTTTTTTAATATTGATATAAAGAAAACTCACGTAATAATCGTCTCCTCGATGGATTTTTTTATTATCACTTTCAATTGATGGAGATAATTCTCTTTTTTCTCTCAAGTTTAAATTTTCTTGAAGTATTGGAATAAAATTGGTATCAACACTTTCTGATAATAATGGCTCACATACAGATATTGTAGAAGAAGAAGGCCATGTAAATTGCATTGCAGCATTCAACTGTCCAGCAAAATTTGCTTCATTTGGTGTATACGATACGGCTTCAATAAACAGAGTCGGATTAACATTTAATATTTGTTGTTGTTGTTGTTGATAGTCAGCTGTAAAATCATAATTGGTGAGATTCGTTATCTCTTTTTGAGTTTGACACGGAGCACATTCGCACACTTCATTATCAGTTGTTTGAGTCACATTTGCTGCTGAAAAATAGATGACCATATATTTTCTTTTAACCCTTTTACCTGAACATATAGAGACAAACATACCACGACATGAACTACGATGTATTAAAAAAAGTTCGAGATTTGTAAAATTTGTTTTACATTTCCCACATACAAATAGATCGCCGTCGTCTATAATTTAAATTAAAACCATAATTTGAAAAAACCCCTTCAATCATTTTATAAAAGAACTTACTCATTGGGATTCAAGAACACGTGTTTAAATCTAAAAAATACAATTCACATTTTTGAATATAAAAGAACTAGTGAACCAACTGTGACAAAAAAGCAAACAGTGAACTCGAAAGTTAGCATTACATGTTATAGTAATAAATAATAAGTATGCATCACGGTCAAATCTGAGTTTTGGAATCAGATCAATTACGATGTATGGTGGAAAGATTTCATTGGAGCATGGGCGGGCCAGAGAACTTTTTTTAGAGTGGTACATGCAGAGACATACTTCCATTCATAGTTGTTCTGTACGTCGGAAGGGTAACACATCTTGCAGAAAGTATGCAATTCTAATATTACTCTCTGCATAATAATATACTTTTTCGTTCATTGAAACTATCCAGCAAATCCCTAATCAAGAACTGTTTTGTTTTAGTTCGAATTTTAGGAAAATACACTGTTGGGAAATATAATTCTTCACAGGGCAACAACTACTTACTGCACTTGATATTTTTTTCCAGGGAGGCAAATGAACCCAGTTGCCCCACTGGAGACCCGCCAATGCATCGTGGAACGAAACTTTTGGTGTTGGGTCTACCTCGCTTTTCATGATATTCAACAGTACTGAACAACGTAATCCATCGCAAGAGTCCAATCTCCAAAGACATTCTTCTAAAAAGAACTACCAAATTATGTTTCGTGGTTTTAATCGCTGCAACAAACAAACCTACGCTATCAAAAAACACGCATTTGTACTACGTAAAAATCTTCCTGCACCTTAGATCTGTTCTTAACATGTATCGCCTATTGTGCAATCGAATAAAGGAAGTTTCTGAATAAAGGGTGGACCAGAATTACTGAAATCGTTTCAGTAATTCTGGCCCAGCCTTTATGCAGTTTGCTGCCTATAGTTTTTCTGAAGAAATTTGACACGCTTGCCAGTCGGCCTAGAAGCAGAAGTTTGAAAAACTGTTTTTCTTATATTACATACGCCCAGCAGAACTCCAGTGAAAGGGCAATATTAAGGCTGAAACTGTTAAATTCGGTTTCCCCATCCAATAAACGGTGCTCACGAAATTTTGATTAACTCCTGGAGAGACTTAAGCGGAAAGTAAGCATTAGTGGCGCCCCCAAAATAATAATAAATAATTAAAGCATAGCTCGTTGAGCTACTCCGAGCATGCTGAAAAGTAACCGTGAAGAAAAATTATCTTTCAATTTTGATGACAACTGAGAAAGTTTTTATTCTTTTTTTGCCTAAAGCTTAGAACTGGCTAACATTAGAAGAAAAATTGCTAGTAAGAGAGAACCAGTATAATCACAAAATACAATTATTAAACTACATGACTTTCTAGAAAAGATCCGAAAAAACACTTGTCTCGTTCGTAGAGACTTCAGTGCACAACGCCATTTCCACGCACGTTAGACAAAATGAGCGGACCTCCAAGTTTCGAAACAATCTTGATTAACTGTTTAATTGTTTTTCCATTTTTGCTGGAAAGGTTCTTGTGGGAGTGGGAGAAACTTCTTATAGTTTCTGCGAACTGGTCAAAAGAACTGATTATTAGTTCAGTTCTGAATGAAAACTGTTATAGTTCTCTAAGACTAAGACTAAGATTGTTTATTCACGAAAAGTGAGAGTCATCAAAGGTCACCGACCTGTAGTAACAATGACTCAAGCCAAACAACACCAAAATAGTAATAAAAAAAAACAAAATAGAGAAGACAACTAAGATTAGAACCAGAAGTAGTAAATAAAACACAAAAATTTTTAAAAAGAAAACAAAAAACAAAAGAACAACCATAAATGCTTAACTGACAAGCGTTTCACTGGAAGAGATACTGAAGTAAAGCTGTTTTGAAAGACATAAAAGAAGAAAGACAAATAACTGACTCTGGAAGATTATTCAGTAGTAGTTGAATAAAAAAA